TTTTTTAGATTAGCATTATTTCTTTTGGGTTGTTCACAGAATTACTACAAAGTAAGTTGTATACTGTAAACTCACTAATTTTTTTGGTCACATCCATAACGCATGTTTATTTCCCTCATTTAAAATCCAAAAATGTTAACAGATTGATATTTTTCTGATTCCATAACTTTGTGGTTAGTTCTTTGAAAAATATAAACAGATTTTTCAATATACAGGCTTCATATATAATTTTACAACTAAAATTCCATGATTTTTCCATGACTTTCAAGTAATACATACATACACATAGTAAATAATAGAAAAAACTGTGCACGTTCAAATTCATTACAACATATCAAAAAACAAAAAAAAATTGTATTTTTACATCTATTGTATGTACAATTTATTTAGACAATGCTAAAGCAGCATTCACAATGTGGGACCATGTTTTTGGCCAAAAACAGAAAAAAAGTAAAGACAACTAATCTATATTCAAGTGTACAGATATTTGTTAAACTAATTTCCATGACCTTTCCAAAACTTTGAGGGGATTTTAGTTTTTCCAAAACTTTTCCAGGCCTGGAAAATGCAATGTCAACATTCCATGATTTTTTCAGGTTTTCCATGACCATATGAACCCTGAATATAATGTTAACATTTACTTTCTCTGTGTATTTATGTGTTTTAAGTTTTCCTGAAAATGTCACATCCATATTGCTGGAATTGCTTATGTGCAATTGAAAAAAATCTTTGACTTAGAAAAAAAAAACAGTCGGGTGGGACTTTTCTCCATCTGGAACTGATTAGATAGTTGTTGTCTGTTAATAGGGTGCATTAGCGCCCGCTTTTTTTCCAGCAGTGCAGTATCTTTGCTTGTATGTTTCTTTAAACTACTGAAATGTAGTACTGAACACTATAACTGGGTAAAGTCTAGATAGAATACAGCTGCGCACAAGATTGAATAAATAATATAAATAACTCTGTCCACAATTGTATCTGATCTAGCAACAAGCCTGTAACTGTTGCGCTTCATTGCTGTGAACTCAGATGACTGATAAGTTGCTTTAGATGATTGATTATTGTATATTTAGAAAATGCAGATCAACTGTACTGTACACTGTACTGTACACAACATCTTAAGTAAAAGCATGTCTGTTAACTGAATTACTCCTTAATCATTTACTTCACTTATAACTTAATTTCTACTAACAATAATATTCAAATGAAAAATGTTCACAGATAATTACTTCTAATAAACACTCTGCATAAAAATGTAGGTATAGTCCATTGTGATATCAAAGTAACTTTCATGACAGTCAACATTAGTTTTGAGAGTGAACAGGTTTCTTTAGGCAAGCTGATACTTGAAAAAACAGCGTCTGTCTACTCACTCCCATTGTCCGAGTCCTCGCTGGTGCTCGGGACACGGCTTCGCTTCATCCTGAGCTGCCGTGGCCTTCAAGTGATGCGGAAATCTGCAGAGGTTGATCAAACATTAGTAGAACATTCCTGAAAACTGACCTGGGGAGATCACTGTGGAGTGCGCGTACCCCAGCCAGCACACACAGGCCATACGAATTTAGAAACCTAACATACACCAATTAAGATACTTTATTTCACACGTTATATATACTTATACGACAGCTTAATATGAAGAATTGAACCATATTAGGTAATCCATCCTTAATCTGACTCCTTCAAAAAGTGTAAACAATGTGGCGCTACCAACCGTTGCTGTTTGGTTGAGCATCGGGACAAACATGGACTGAACCAATAGCATGAGTCTGAGGGCGGGACTAAGTGTTGGATTACCCACTGTCAGACGGGGGCGTGTGCGAGAAATGTACACACTTCACCTTCACCAGTTTTTGTTATTCTGCTCTAGGTAGGGTATTGAAAACATGCTAAACTAATGTAATTTCCCTAATCTCAAATATCTAACAAGAAAACAGAAAATAAACTGAGCAACTGGTGCACATGAGAACAACGTCACTCAAGTTTTGATGTAAGAATATAATGCATCATCATATTAGTTTATGATCAATATATAATATGGAGGTAACGTTATATGGACGTACGGAGTGTCGTAAACACAAATACTACAATGACAAACAACTCAGAAACAAACCTCAGAGCAGCTTTAGGCTTTTTTAAAATTATTTTTACCTCGACACACCTAATATTTCACTAGCAAACACAGTTTCAGGTGAACCACTTAAAATCAGTTTGACTAACTGTTAACTGAGAACCAATAGAGAAAAGCAAACCCATGCCGATTGGGATATACGAAAAAGGTTTAGATATGTTAAACTTGTTTTTTTATTAAGTTAGCCAAGATCATACAGTTAAAAAAATATTTTAACCGTTAAAATATCACAGGTACCAGCTAAATCCAACGGTACAAGTAGAGGAAAAAACGAAACAACGTTACAGCAGGACATCTACCACTCGACAGCAGATTCACGCAGCGCAAACGCTGAACGTGACGCTGCTGACAGACCACGCCCCTTGACGTCACATAGCTGTCCATTTCAATGCCAGTTAGCAAATTAAAAACAAAACTATTAATACGCGTTTCCTCACGAATCAAAATGAATTTTGCAGCGTTTTTATACACAGCTCCTGCTGCTCGTTTGTATATTTAAGCACAGACGTACTGCATAAAGAAAATCCAGTTGTGCTGGAACATTCGTTCGATTTAAAAAAGTAATTTCTATTGCGCAAATCTATAAATTTACAGAATTTAACTTCTAACGCAAGCCCCTAAGAAAAGTTACTATTTTTCACCGTTATTTTCACAACATCATGGCAGTGCTGAATCCGGACCAGCCCAGGCAGTGGCACGCGGAAAACTGTCTAATAGTCCTCCGAAAATATGCAGAATCCGTACATAAATCAAAAGTGGAAAACACCGATGTGTATTTGACGCCAATTTCAGGTTCAATTGCAAAACTTTAAGGCCAAATAGCACAAGCCGAGCAGTCAGGCCAGGGCGCGCGCGCCTAACTTGCGATATGACGCTTGGACACACATACACACACATGCGCGCGCACGACCAGCACCTACGCGATTCAAAGTAACAACCAAATATTCACGAATACCACATCCGCGGCTCATAGAAATCAATAAAGAGGCCACATGCATGAAAACATTTATTTAGGGCAGCGTCTGCTCCTGCTCAACTTAATCTTTTGGCGCCATTTTAATGACGTGCTACATTTGCACCGGACCATCTGCATGAAGAGCTCGCGGAAATCCTGGAAAACACTTGCACCTCCCTGCCTGGAAAACACACATACTATAGCACAGCGAGAAAATCTGGTGTACCTACATAAACAGGTCTGGCTGATCCTGCGCTGGCGTTTCTGTGGCGCTTGCTCAGAGTTTGAGTAGTCGCCTCTCCTCTCCTCCACCCCACACACACAAACACATGCAGGTTACGTATGCGCGCCGCCGCTGCTTGTTTCCTGCAGGGGGCGCTAGTGCGCGCGCGCACGCACATACGATTATCATGACTTCCATTTCAGCTGTTTCATAATAACCACATCTGTTTTGACTGGAGATGACGATGATGATGACAGAGTTTAAACCCACTATTTTTATTTTAAGATAAATCCTTGGCGGAAAACTGTTTAAATAAAGGAAAGTGTCATGTTATGTCATCACTACTAATCCAAAGTGGGATAAAATATGTAATAATAAATCTTAAATATCCAATCAAATAATTTTAAGCTTCAAAATAATTCTTTTGAGTTGTTTGTTTGCTTTATGAGAGGGTGAGGTGCTTCACAAATATCCTGAACCTTTGGAGAAGATACAAAATGCAAAGACTGTAAATCCCATAGGATCACTTCCCAGCAATAGGCTTTGTTCATTTTCCTTTATTAGATTTTTCCGTTGGAAAATATAAATGTTTGCCACATGATCAAGGGTGGAGCATGTGTTTACAAGAAAAAAACTGTACACAAACAAAAGATCTAAAATAATGATTTAAAAAAAAAACTTTTAATATAATCATCCTTTGGCCACCCAAGGTGTGGACTTTATTGCTTCAGTAGAATATAAATAAGGTTTTTAGCGTAAACTAAGGTCTTTGGTATTTAATTAATTGCAAATGAAAGGGTACCAGTAGTTTGAGAGTGACCAAAAAACATAAACACAATACAAAGTTTATATCTGTGCCTCTTTATGAGACACTGGACGTCTTCTGAAGAATAGTAAATGGTCTGTGCAAGAAATTGAGCCTTATTCATTCTTTTATTTTATTTTCGGCTTAGTACCCTTATTAATCTGGGGTCGCCACAGTGGAATGAACTGCCAACTTATCCAGTATATGTTTTACGCAGCGGATGCCCTTCCAGCTGCAACCCATCACTGGGAGACATCTATACACACTCATTCACACACATACACTATGGCCAATTTTAGCTTACCCAATACACCTATAGCGCAAGTCTTTGGACTTTTGGCAGAAACCGGAGCACCCAGAGGAAGCCACACAAAAATGAGGAGAACATGCGAACTCCACACAGAAATGCCAACTGATCCAGCCGAGGTTCAGACCAGCAACCTTGCAGTGAGGCGATCGTGCCACCCACTGCGCCATCGCATCGCCAAATTGAGCCTTTTTTACAACAATATTAATCCACAGTGTTAAGCAAACAGTGTGTTGATGACAGTCTGGAGCACAAGCTTCACGTAAACAATGTTCAGTTTCTCGACTGATTGTTATGCTTCCTAAGACTGCAGCGTGTCAGCAGGACTCTCAGTGTACTAGTAGCCACTAATTAGCATTTTATTAATCAGCAAGGACCGAAGTTTCGGCTACAAAATCTCATTTAATATTCTGTATATTAATATACTAACAGCAAAAAAAATAATAATTCTGGGTGAACTATCCCTCAAAAAATCCATTAAAACAACCTCCTGTAGTAGGATGAGTAAATTAACTAGGAGTTGTCTGGAATTTTTGACAAAACAAAATCATCATATTGATGAAACTGAATGATATGGATGCCTTGTTTAGTTAAACATCTCCTGCTGCTATTTTATTTACACATTATGCATGTTTTTTCATGTTTTATACATTGTTAGTACAACCAACAACCACTAGGGGTCAACACGCAACCATTTATCAAGATGGCAGTGCAAAGATACACCAGACAGGATGGAGGGAGGAGCTTATTTTTGACACATCACTGGCCAATGAAAAACAGCTCCTGTCCCACCGCCTCTCAGACCACTTCTGTAGGCCTCAGGGAGGAAGATTCACAAATAACTACACCTAATCTCTACCAAGACTTCAGTCTTCAGGAGGAAATGTAAGGATTAGTAGTGTATTTACATTGTGATGGAGAAAATACTCTTTTATCATATTCCCAAAACAAACAACAAACGTCTGACGTGTGCGTGAACACGATTACTGATGTGTCTGATCAAAACAGGACTGCAGACAAGGCAGAAAGGGTACTAGAATCACTTTGGTTCTTGTTCATTTGAGTGCCAGAATAGCATCGTATGATTTTCCGGTCCGACAGACCTGCACGTCACTGAATCCTGCATCTGTGAGCAGGTGTGTGTAATACGACGGTGGATGTTCCTTCCCTTCGGTCTGGACCAGCATGTTCAGAGAAAAGATCTGAACCATAGTTGGACCTTTGCGGGTCTCAAACAGCAGAGCCTCTGCTATCAGGACACCTCCACCTAGAGATGGTAAGGAGGACAAAAGGGCGAGTCAGATGCTTGATGTCCTTTGAGGGCCATTGATTACTACTGTTGATCTGGTAATCTTGCTTTATTGAATGTGGTATTTCTCACCTGGATGACATGCTGCGTGAATCTTCCTCAGCAGCTTGAGATTTTTCTCCTCTTTCCAGTCATGAATGATTCGGGCAAGAATGTATAAATCTGCTGGAGGGATTTCCTCTTCAAAGAAGTCCCCTGCAAACACAGAGATTAGAAAAACTATAGTAGAGTTATATTTCATCACTGCAGTTTTACATTACAATTTAAATGTTCTAAATCTTTTGTTTTAAGTTTATGAAAGTCTCATGCTCACCTAAAACATGGTGATAGTGTATATGAGATTATATATATATATATATATATATATATATATATATATATATATATATATATATATATATATATATATATATATATACACATACATACATATATACATATATATAAATACGTTGATTTTTTTTGTTTTTTTTTTGTTAAAGAGACAGTTCCCCCCACATGAACACACACATTTCAGTGTTATAAATGCTTTTTAATTCTGTTTTACACAAAAAGAAGATATATTGAATAATGTTGAAAACCACTGACATCCATAGAAGGATAAACAAATACTATTGATGTCAATATTTACAGGTTTCCTACATTCTTCAAAATAACTTTTTTTCTATTCAACAGAACTCCCACTTTAACTAATCCTGTACATTCATTTTCCTTTGGCTTAGTCCCTTAATTCATCTTGAGTCGCCACAGTGGAATAAACCGCCAACTTATGTTTTACACCAGTAGATGCGCTTCCATATTAGGAAACATCCATACACGCTCATTCACACACGTACACTATGGCCAAAAAAAAATTTTTAATTCACCTTCACCTCATGTTTTTGGACTTTGGGGGAAAGCGGAGCACCCGGAAGAAACCCACATGACCACGGGGAGAACATGCAAACTCCACACAGAAATGCCAACTGACCCAGCCGGGACTTGAACAAGTGATCTTTTTGCTGTGAGGCGATTGCACCGTGTCGCCCTAGTCCTATACAACTGAGTGTTTGTTTGTTTGTATTTTTGTAGTTTTATATTTAGCTTTTGGCTTAAGGTGGAAGTCAGAAATAACAAGTATGGTCAATCCAATTACTCTTTACACACAGCTGAGGTGTTTATCCAGTCACACTGCATCAGTTGGCCAATCAGAACAATGATGTATTTTGGCTGAAAGAGCTCAAAAGTCTGCATCTAAAATTCACATTTCCCGACTATATACCAGCTGAAAAACGAGATGACCAGAAGTATGTTTTAATTCAAAAGTACCAGGATGACACTGTGGTGGTGAATGTAGTACTGAATATCCAGATTACATTCATACTACACACATTTATACAACTCACTCACTCACTCACTCACTCACTCACCTTCGGCTTATTCCCTCATTTTTCAGGTGGTCTGCACAGTACAATAAACTGCACACATTTATATAAAAAATAAATAACACAGGGTCCTTACACCTTTTTCACCCTAAATTCCAGCACTTTTCAAGCACTTTCAAGGTGCATTTGTGTGCTTTTCCAGCACCTAATGACCACGATTAATTACGTTTATATATGTTGTATGTACTTTTTCACATTTAAATGCATTGTGCTATTTTGAAAAACAAAATATGACATTTCAACTTAAATTGTTGAGTACTTTAGTGCATAAATTTATTAGGATAGTTAACTTAAAAATGATTAAAAAATTAATTTTTAAAAGTTCAGTTATTCGATGAAGTGTGTTTTTAAGTTTGGCCTCTTTCTACCTAAAGTTGATATCTTAAGAAATGAGCTTACAGTCAGATTTTGTTTGGGTGTTGTACCAAACTTTCATGACCAATCGTTCATGATATTTCATGTGCATTGCTATTTTTTCTTTTTAGCAGTCATTGGATTGGCGTTTCAGGTGCAAAGATACTTTCTGAGTGAATGTCTCCTAAATGCGTATGAAGCTAATAGCGCCAAAACAATCTGAATTTGTATTGTGTTAATCTGAATTCTTAAAAAAAACTTGAAACTGTTTTTTTCCATACCCAATATCTGCAGTCTTTGAATTCAGAACAAAAAAAAAAATCTGAAATTTAAAACGAAGTCTATAAAAATCTGACTTAAAAAAATTAAGTTGTCTTAAATTTCAGATGTTCAATAATCAAGTTAAGAAACACACATTCAAAACTTTTCTAATGGGACATAATTAGTATTATTACCTAACAATTGTTAATAATTCAATTTAACAATTCAGATTGTTTTGGCTCATTATTGGCTCCATAAATACACGCATGCTGTGAACATTTTGGAATGAAAACTGGTCGCACAACAACAATTTATGCACTCGCACATATGCTCCAAAATATATTTTGAGTTCACATAGATAAAATCGAGCGCATATGCAACCAAAACAGTCACAATTTCGAGCCCTGCAAGTTCAAATTCAAGCAGGTTCAAGCACTTTGTATAAAATCGAAGCACTTTTCTAACCTTGAAAACACAATATTAAAAATCAAGCATTTTCCAGGATTTCCAGCACTCGTAAGAACCCTAATAACGTTTAGAGGTGATAACATCCTAGAGGTGAAGTGCGTCGACATATAGCACCAAGGTGCTCACGGTGACCTGAGTTCGATTCCCACCTCGAGGTCCTTTGCTGATCCTTACCCTCTCACTGCTCCCCATGATTTCCTGTCAATTCTCTACACTGTTCTATCCATGAAGTGGTTAAAAATTCATTCCTTTTCTTTTGTACCTTTATTTTTTAGGGGTCACCAAAGCAGAATGAACTGCCAACTTATCCAGCATATGTTTTACACAGCAGATACCCTTCCAGCTGCAACCCAGTACTGGGAAACATCCATACACACTCATTCATTATGGCCAATTTAGATCATTCAATTTACCTATAGCGCATGTCTATGGACTCTGGGGGAAACCGGAGCACCCGGAGGAAACCCATGTGATTACAGGGAGAACATGCAAACTCCACAGAGAAATGCCAACTGGCCAAGCCGGGATTCGAACCAGCGACCTTCTTGCTGTGAGGCGACAGTGCTAACCACTGAGCCACCATGCCGCCCAGATTAAAAACTCTGAGAAAATAATAAAAAAATAAATACTATATAAAATATATTTACGGATCACAATAAACACATAATCATTATTTTTGTGAAGATCAAGCATGGTTGTTATTTTGTAAAAACAAAAAACAAACAAAAAAACGTCCTAGTCCAAAAGCATTCATTGTGCGTTGAAGCTTGTTCAGTTTAGAATACATTCATTCATCCATTTTCTTGTCGGCTTAGTCCCTTTATTAATCCGGGGTCGCCACAGCGGAATGAACCGCCAACTTATCCAGCAAGTTTTTACGCAGCGGATGCTCTTCCAGCCGCAACTCATGTCTGGAAAACATCCACACACACATTCACACACACACACACAATTTAGCCTACCCAATTCACCTGTACCGCATCTCTTTGGACTGTGGGGGAAACCGGAGCATCCGGAGGAAACCCACGCGAAGGCAGGGAGAACATGCAAACTCCACACAGAAACGCCAACTGAGCCGAGGTTCCAACCAGTGACCCAGCAACCTTCTTGCTGTGAGGCGACAGCACTACCTACTGCGCCACTGCCTTCCCAGTTTAGAACATATTTAAAATAAATATCCCTGAGTGAATTTTGCCTTTTTAATTTGAGGCCATTAATATTTGAGTTAGTTTTGAGGTCATGCAAATGTACTTTAGCTAGGCCTTTATTCACTGTAATGAGAATATTTGTTTTCAGGGCAGTTCACAAGTTCAGGAGGACAGAGAATCAGTCAAACGGCAACCATTAGCAATGTTACAATGCATCATTACGCACCCGCTTGAAAGCAGATGGTGTCATCTTGCTGGGCAAAATGCCGTTGGGCAGTCTGAACCACAGACGGCAGATCCAGAACCGTGACGCTGGAGGACGGATATTCTTTAGCCAGCTCTCGAGCCAACGCACCAGAGCAGCCTGCAATAAAAACACAAATTAACATGGGTTCCACTTTTGCTGCCTCAATCATTTAATGAAAAACTACAACATTTCTGCAATCAAGAACATTCACTCTCACCTCCCAGATCTATAACAGACTTGAAGCTCGAAAGATCGAAAGCTGTCACTATGTCATGGCCGTCAATGACCCACGTAGAGTTCATCAGTCCCATGAACTTCAGCATCTCCTCTTCTGACCTGAAACGACAGATGGTACATTTCCAAATGGATTCACACCGAAGTTGGGACAAACAAACCCAGATACTGACACTTCTGCCATCTGTTACAAAACACGGCCATTAGCTTTAAACAGATGCACAATCATAAATAAAATGTTGGGTATGAAAGACCACAATAATTGGTATAATTAATATGAATTAAAAAAAAAAACATAACGATATTTAAACAGAAATATGAGTTAATAAATTCTCAACTATACTAAATCTAACGAAGCCTAATGACACACACACACTCACAACACAGTTGATACAATAACACAAGTCCTTTTTGCAATGTTTAGCTTTAGGCACTACAGCACACACACAGACAGTCCCAGCACCCCTCCAGACGCCTGTCATAAAGCCTCAAAGCTGAATGGCTTGTAGTCCATGACCTAGAATTACACAGCACCAGCGGCTAATCGCTTAAGACCGCATCACTGCAGTTAGAGAAAGGATTTTTAATCTAGTGACGTCTAACAACAACAAACATAATCACACAAACCCTACTGCTAATATTAAACTTCAGCACACACACCTGTATATGGCAGAGAAGATCTCTTCAGACGGCAGGCCGAAGGTTTTCTCATTCTGGTTCTTCCCTTCCCTGAAAAGTTTTTAGATGTTCTGATTATTATTCCCTTCCCAAATTAAGAAAATACTACAGTAACATATAGTAAATCCTAAAGTGTTTTTAACCATACTATAGTAAAGTACTTGAATTAAACTGTTTTGGTGATTCTGCAGTTGGTATATTAATAATAGTTGGTACAACAACAATAAGTAATAGAAAAAAATATTTAAAAAAAATACCCAATACTATAGTTTTCAACAACAATAGGGTATATCATACAACACTGTATCTATACTACAGTCTTTTTTACAGTTCATTGATTGATTAAAGTTGATACTACAGTATGTTCTAGCCTTCATTACCCCAGAATAACACATGAAGTGCACTCGTTTTTGTGATTGTTTTAGAACTTCTGATTCAGTTGCCTATGAGAGAAATGACTAGGAATAATAAACAGCGGAAAACGATAAACTACTTGCTCTACAAACAAGTGTTTGCATGACTATACATAAAAAGAATAATATAATAATAAATTATCATTTTGCAACATCAAGCAGCAGAACAAGCCTCTAAAAATGAATGGAAGTGAATGAGACTGGAAGTCTTGAGCCAAATAAATTCGAATGGCTGCGCCCACCCGTACACGGAGAATAAGGTGAATAGTATGTACTATAAATCAATATGGCTTTTTTATATGTGTTAGAACACAAATTAATTGTTAATATTTTTGCCTCCAGTTTTTGGATTTTTTTTTTTTATTGGAAAACAAAACAAACATTTTAATTTCAAATAATAATAATATATGTACACTCACTGGCCACTTTATTAGGTACACCAAACTAAAACTGGGTAGGATGCTATTTAGCCTTCATAATTGCCCTAATCCTTCGCGCCATAGATTCAACAAGGTACTTGAATTATTCCTAAAAGATTTTGGTCCATATTGAGATGATTGCATCATGCAGTTGTTGCAGATTTGTCATCTGCACATTCATGATGAGAATCTCCCATTCCACCACATCCCAAAGGTGGTATATTGGATTGAGGACTGGTGACTTTGGAGGACATTTGAGTACAGTGAACCCATCCTCATGTTCAAGAAACCAGCCACCACCAGCCTAAACTTTTTTCATGCTTTAATTTTGTTGATGCCAAATTCTGACCCTACAATTCAAATGTTGCAGCAGAAATCAAGACTCCTCAGACCAGGAAACATTTTTCAATCTTCTATTGTCCAATTTTGGTGAGCCTGTGTGAATTGTAGCCTCAGTTTATTGTTCTTAGCAGACAGGGGTGGAACCCGGTGTGGTCCTCTGCTGCTGTAGCCCCTCTGTTGCCTTTCTATCAGCTCAAACCAGCCGGGCCATTCTCCTCTGACCTCTGGCATCAACAAGGCATTTGCGCCCACAAAACTGCCACTCAATTGATATTATCTAAATTTCGAACCATTCTCTGTAAACCCTTGACATGGTTGTGCATGAAAATCCCCGTAGATCAGCAGTTTCTGAAATACTCAGATCAGCCCGCCTTGCACCAACAACCATGCCATGTTCAAAGTCACTTAAATCACCTTTCTTCCTCATTCTGATGCTCGGTTTGAACTGCAGCAGATCTTCTTGACCATGAACACATGTCTAAATGCACTAAGTTGCTGCCATGTGATTGGCTGATTAGAAATTTATGTTAACGAGCAGTTATCTAATAAAGTGGCCGGTGAGTGTATGTGTGTGTGTGTATATAGTAATAAAAAATGTCAAATATGTAATTTCACAGTGCTACGTTTTTACTTGTTTTGTGGTAAATCATGAGATGTTATAACAATTTAATTCTTCTACAGTATTAATAAACATATTGCCACGACAGTCAGAAACTGATAAGGGTTTGTTTCCAAAAAATAAACTAAATATTATAAAAAATCCAAGATTTTAAGCGTATTTAACCAACTAAATCCATGACAACTGGGAATAATGTGGAAATGAAGGAAAAGTGTTCATTATATTTAGATCTCCAAATGTTGGAACAAATTTCAGAATAAAAATTAAGTGTCTCAAAACTGGGATGGATGAACCTACCTAACAGCGTCTACCAGATTGTTCCAGAGCGGGTAGATGGTCTGAGAGGAATAAATGATCAAATCATGCAGAGATTTGGGGCTGCTTTTGGCCAGGTAGAGATTAGCAACATCTGTACTGCTATAAAGAGCTTTGAGAGAAGACAGAGGTAAAGCTTTAGAGAGGTAAAGCTTTTTTTTAAAGTTTTTTTCTGATATACTAGACACAATGAAAGCATGATGTGTGAACAAACACATAAAATGTCTTTGTTTTAGAAGAATCTAGGTTATTTCCAGCCAATTGTGGTGGAATGATGAGATTGTTAAGCAGCTTACCGTTTCCCTGCACCACTTCCACATCCACAATCTCAATGGCAACCATCAGATCCAGCAGACGCTCAATGCCATCTTGACTGGTGCCAAGCTGCTCTGCCACTTCAGCTGCACTCAGAGGCTTTTGGGACTGGAGGAGCAGGTCGAACACCCCTAACTCACAAGCTGAAAATATCGCCTGGAGGAGAGGAGAAATTTAGGTAATCATTCCAGATTGGATAAAATATTTGTGCAAATATATTGCCTCAAAACATTTGAGTAAACAATCAAATTTTTCAAAAGTTTGTAGAACTTAATTTGTTGAGAAAATTGACACACTGGTGTCTCTCATTAAAAAGATTGTTTAGAGCCAAAAAATTATTTCATGCCTATTTATTCTCCCTTGTGTTTTAAAACAAACCTTATTGAGTCTTCTTCTTCTGATGAACACACACAAAAAATATATATATACATTAAAAATGCTGGTTGATGTAACCCATTGATTTCCATAGTAAAAAATTGGGTACCCAGAAGCAATGGGTACCATCAACCAGCATTCTTCAAAATATCTGCTTCTGTGTTCAACAGAAGAAAGAAACTCAACTTTGTTAGCATAACTGTCACATAAACCCAAATCTTTATGATGTTAATTATTTATAATACTATTTTCTAAACACATCCATGCATATAGTTTTGAAATACATATATAGCCGTAGAAACGTTAATAAATACTAATAACTGAAAATAAAAATACACACACAACCAAAATACAGGCTCTATTCTTCTTTACAATGGCAACCCTAGAAATTTCAACGTAAACCAAGATAGCCAACAACGCACAATATTACAGTCTATTTTATGTTGATCTAGTTGATAAAATACACACACTTAATATATATGTATTTTAAATATAAGTCTGATGTAAAGCATGGAGGAAACTAAAATTAGCCTTAAAATGAACTATTGAGTTCATGTGACTTGTTTCTATTAGGTACAACGAAACAGTGTGGATTGCACAAAAAAGTCCTAGATCGAGAACTTCTCCTGTCATTGATGTGTCTGCTATGTCTTTTAAAAGATTAAATGCATTTTTAACTTCAAAAAATGCAAGGAAATGTTCATAGTGTAATTAAATGTTTGCATTTAATTCCACAATATTAATACAGAGCATTGTTTGGTTTGTAATAAACTACCTGACAAAAGTCTTGTTGCCTATCCAAGTTTTAGAAACAACTAATTATAACTTGACCTTAAATTGATCATTTGGTATGAGAAGTGGCTTATATGAAAGGCAAAGGTCTCTAGATTACGCTTATTTTATGTGATCATGCCTTGATTTTTAATTATTTATTAATTATTATTTATTATTCATTATTTATTATTAATTAATATGGCAAAGAAAGCGTTCTTGCAAGTCTCCCACAGTTCATCAAGATTCTTTGGATTCTAATACAATGCTTCCTCCTTCATCTTACCCCAGACATGCTTAATAATGTTCACATCTGGTAACTGGGTTGGCCAATCCTGGAGCACCTTGACATCAAAAACTTTGATGTGGAGGCTGAAATATGAGGAGCGCTATCCTGCTGAAGAATTTGCCCTCTCTTGTGGTTTGTAATGTAACGGGCAGCAAAAATGTCTTGAAACCTCAGGCCATCTACTCTGCAATTCTCTTGCATGCCCCCATACTGAATGTAACCACAAACCATGAATTTTCTTCACCAAACTTGACTGATGTCTGTCAGAATCTTGGGTCTATGCGAGTTCCAGTAAGTCTTCTGCAGTATTTGTGATGATTGGGATGCAATTCAACAGATGATTCATCTGAAAAATCAACCTTCTGTCACTTTCCCAAATGATCAACTAAAAGTCAAGTTATTACTTGTTGCTTTTAACACTGAGATTGATGACAAGACTTTTGTCAGGTAGTCAGGATATTGTCAGGATTTTTTGATGAACAGAAGCAGTAAGTAATTTAATTATAAATCTATTTTTATATTTTACACCTATTTACTTTTACAAATTAACACCAACTTAAGGCAATATAAAATTATTAATTTGTATTACCTTAACCATAAGCATTTGCACTCCATTTCTCAAAGAGAACCCCAAAATTAATGATAGTATAAATAACATGAGCCAATTAGGTTAAAATGTACAGTACGTAGATATACAGGGAAATATTTCATATTTATTATTTTTATATTGTGTTATGACTAGCTCCGATTTAATTTCTATTCACAATTTACAAGACTCCATTTACCTTTATCTAGATCACTTTAAGTTGCCTCAGAGTACAAAAACTGAATTTTATTTTTTATTTTTTTTACAAACTTCCGTTACTTCATAATCCTTTTAAGCACTAAAGGACCTTACTTAAAGTCTCATGGGACAACAGACTCCTGAGTCATTTTAGTGTTTGACTGGGGCTTTTAATAAGTCATAGGCTGGTCCTGCTGGAGGCGAAAGCAGTCCTGAGCGCTACATGGGACACAACAGTGGACTGACACAAATAATAGATGCTCTCACATAAAACATTTACTCATAAATCCACTTATAAATGTCATGGTAAATAGTTATTGTTATGAACTGCTAATGATTCTTGAGGTTGATCCACGTCAAAGCAAGCATGACCGATTAAAGCAATGTGTGTTTACAAAGACAAAACATGAAACACAAACCTTAGAGATCCTGAATCCATTGAAATATTCCAAAAGCTTGAAAGGATAGTCCAGTTCACTCTGGGACAAATGCTCAGCCATGATGAAGAATGTCCTTTCTGCTATAGTCAATGACAGAATCAGTGTCACAATTAAAGAGACTTCCAGTTATATTATTGATCAAATCTTAACAGTTCTTGACAAGTGAAGATAAAACATGAAAGTACACACTAGAAGCTGCTTTTAGAGCATCATTCCAAAAAAGATAAATGATTTTATCCTGTGTCAACTAGGTTCCCTGCCTGGCCATGATATTTTCTGTTCTGAAGATCGACTAGATAATGCAAAGATACGATGCTCATGTCCAGATAAGACAATGTTATGAAAATATAGATTATTTGCAGTCTAAATGCACTCATAGTGTAGGTTTATCAGAATCTGTGGTTTACACACTTTCACAAAGCCGGTCACTGTGAAACAATGTACCGTTATTATTGTGTAACCACAAAATCTTTCAAGCGAGCTGCTCACGAGACCACGATCTCGATTATTATGCCCTGACCACAGTAGCAATTATATATTTATTCAAACAACACAAATATGTATACAAAGATGAAATATATTTTACTTCAACTGGAATCTCTTGACGTTTATCCATCAGTGTTTATACAGTTCAAGAAAACCGTACTTACCAAACAAAAGAGTGTCGGTTTGATGTGGAGGTTTGCTCACAATTCTACTCCAAATCCGACTCTTCTCCAACAGTCATCTCAGGAAAATATGACAGTACTAGCGAACTGAAATACGAAAGAAACTGTGCGACTGTTCTCTAATAATGTCTGATTCGGGAAAATAGGGTTCTTTAGAGTCGAATCCTTTTAGTGACTCTGTTGAGTCAGTTCACTTAACACTTGACTCAGTAACGAACTGGACTGCATCGGGTTTAGCGACAGCGATTTGACGTAAAAAATAAACATATGACTAAAGTAAGTGTAAATATAGCTGTACTTTAACCCTTTACAAAGAGTTTTCGTATTGCACAGTAATATATGTCACGGACGACGAGGCGTGATGTAAACTCTAAACCGGTTCGGACGATTTCTCGGAAAGAACCGATTCGTGGGAATGAACCGAATTTCCTTGAATACCTTTGTCACCGTACCGTTAGATTTTCAGTGACATCTGGTGGTTGATATACCGCACAAACTCACTTTATATGTTGTGATTAACTGATATTACAAGGAAAGGATCTTGTATGCTGGGAAAACAGCACCGAAGTCAGTATTATGTGGCAGTATGTGACATTCTGTGTGGACATCACATGGTGTGGGTTTCCTCCAGTTTCCCCACAAGTCTAAAGACATGCACTATAGGTAAACTGAGTAAGCTTAATTGTCCCTACTGTATGTGTGTGAATGAGTGTGTATGGGTGTTTCTCAGTGATATGTTGTGGCAGAAGGGCATTTTCTGCGTAAAAAATTAGCTAGAAGAGTTGGCGGTTCATTCCGCTGTGGCAACCCCAGATTAATAAAGGGACTAAGCTGAAAAGAAAATAAATGCATTACAATAACAGAGCTATATTAAATGCTATAAACATATACGTTATAAAAACTTGCAGATAACGACTTTGTTTTATTTATTTTTTAAGATTGCTGGGATGCCGATTTTGTAAATAAGTTGGGAGATGTAGTAATGAGTTCTTAGTAGTGTAGAAATTACCTTGAGTTGTTTTCAGCTCTAACAAACGAGACATTTCACACCAATACACCATGTTTGATATCAATGTCTGCAAGCCTTTAAAATAGTCAACTACTCCCTGCAAAAACTACTCCAATTACTTAATAACACATTGCTTCATGTGCAATTTCATCAGTTATACAAAGCAGATCCAATGCATTCCTCAAACCACAAACTCCCTCCCTTTTGCAGTACCATATTATTTACAGATGTAAGATGCTTTACTATGCTTTAGAGCATTGAGTTTCAGAAAAGCGCATTATAAAATACAATTTATTATTATTATCATTAAAGAAATGCTACATTTTCAGACTTGTAATGAAATGAGTAAAATAGCATATCAAGCCAACAAATAAATTTTTAAATTAGTTTGACATAGTGGTTATTCCCAGCTGCTAGTTTCATAGTTTTGAAATGATGGCCCTTTGTGAAAGACAACCCTTATTTCCCACTTAAGACCAACACAACAGAGCGTGCAGAAAGAGAAACAGTAGTTATTTACCAAATGTATTTATTTCTGCAACAACACGTTCTTGTCCTGCTCCCCCCCGAGAGCACACACACACACACACACACACACACACACACACATCCTTGCAAACTCCATTTAAATACATGACGTGAGAGCCAGCATTACCTCACTGTTTGCTGCACATGCTTTAATAAAATGATACACATATTTACAGAATCCACAAATTTCGCCTCACCCCCTCCCCCAGCAAAGACAAAATATTTGTCCAAACTTGTAGTTCCCCACTCCAGAAGAAAAACAAAAATAACACTTAAGGGTGGATTTGAAAAATTACCCACAATTAAAAATAAACTCAGCTGAGAAAAAAAAAAAAAAAAAAAACTAAAGAGAGGGAAACGGATGGAAACAGAGAAAGAGCAATGGATCTTTTGGCCAGTACAACACAGCAGTGCGTGGAGTTTAATAACAGCGCAGATATGGCAGTAACACTGAAATAGCTCATAAAGTCTATGTACAAGATCACGATAATGGCGTCCGAGCCTCTCAAGTCCGTTTCGCTCACAGACGTGAACACGCCTCATCGTACAAACTTTAAGGAAATGAAGGGAAAGGATGCCTTGGCTTCTGAAAAACCTCCTACGAGTAGATAACGGGAAAGGGCAGAGCAGGACACGGTTCGTCTTTGCGCTTTCTCAGTCTCAGACCTGTATCTTTCTACATCTCTCGACTATTCTGTAGTAGAATTAAACAGAAATAAGGCACAATAACTACACTGACTGTTTCGTTAATGGGGAAGGGAGACTTCTGTTGACTGATGAGCCGATCCAATTAAACGTGTGTACTGATCTTCCCTTTGCATCCCGACCAGCCGTTCCGATTTATACAACTCCAATAAAACAAGAAGTTTATGGCGACGATGCTAATGGATAGCCTCCCATCCCTAATGCTTTACAATCACATTGTGACAAAGAAACACTAGAATCTAGTGGTGCGCACAATAGAAAAACTGCTAAGAGCACCCACCTACCAAACCCCCCCTTAACCTTTGGATTGACTGGCTTTTGGATTGTTACCATTTCCATTCGACGCTGACTTTGACTTAAAACGACAGTGGATGAATCTGCATGAGCTTCTAATGCTCGAGACGTGACCAATTCAAACAAAAAAAAAAAAAGGAAAATAAAAAAATAAGAGACCCCAGGTTTAACCTGTAGTGGACTGAACTCCAGGCATCTGCCCCGCTCTATGTACGCTCACGAACAGTGAAGTCCCCAAAGAAAATGAAGTGAATATAAAATGTCTGTGTAATTCAGTGTCTCCTCCTTTCAATCATCTCTTCACATTGTCAGTCCAAGCCTGAACACTCGCATGTGCGATCAAGACTCAAGTTCTGTTGGACTGTAGGGTAAGTCACAGAGGGTTTAGGGGTTAGACTGCGAAATTAGGGTTTAGTAGTGTTTGATGGTGTTTCTGGTCTAAATCAGGGACACAAGGAGCTGGATTGAGGTTTCAAGAACAGACAAGAAGAGTAACTCTGAAAAGGCTATTGGTCTGTTTTGGCAGAAGAACAGTCAGAACGGCTGGGGGCTTTTAGACAGACGTGTTGATCTCCGCTGTGATGGAGCAGTAGTGGGACAGGTTCTGAGGGGTTTTCTTGCTGGGGTTAAACAATTCTGAATGGTGGCCTTCTCAGTCCTGGGCTTCAGCTGCTGTGATGATTCAGCAGATCATTCATGTTTTTGATGGTCCTTCATGTCCTCCTCATCTGTGTACTCAGATGGTTCGTCTCCTGGCTTCAATAAACGGCCAACATAGTCATATTTCTCTGAGAAAGAGAGAGAGAGAGATATTATGAATATCTCATACATACTTATGTTTAGACAAACTGAAATGTAGTAGTAATTAGGGCTGCACAATATATGGTTAGGCATGGATATCGCAATGTGTGCATCTGCAATATTTACAAAGCAAGATCTGAATTTAAGTTGACCAGGAGCTACATGCGGTTTGTAGAGTCACACTGAAGTTTAACCATAATAGAGTGAAAGTTTATCATTCGCTTGTGTTTTTAAGGTCTGTGACTGAGCTTTTAAGAGAGTTTGAGACATTTGGGTACATAAAATGATGTTTGGAGGTGTAACAAAGATTAATTTCATTCCATCATTTATATGGAGAAAAAAAAAATTTACTTGCAATTTTTGTCTTGTTTCTATTTCAAATATCTACAAGCCGATTTTACTTTTACATTGGCACATGGTTTAGCTTGTTTAAAGACAAAAAAAATCTACATTTTTACTTGCAGTAAAAACAAAACAATATTTCTAACTTGATTGAAGAATGAGACATTCAACTAGAAATGAGACAAGGCAAAATAATTTTTGTGATCTACTTAAATACTGTTAGACACCCCAGAAAATGTCAAATAGAGCTATTCAAACTTTCTTTTGAAACTGTGTTCATATTGCATCATTTATTGCAGAATAATTAAATATCGAAATATAAGAATTTTCCAATATTGTAGTCCTAGTAGTAATGACCTTGGACAAGTTAGCATGGACCTGTCGGTACTGCTAGTAATAACATTTGACTACAGAGAGCACTTTTCCCCATTAGTATTGTTGTTATTAATTAACTACAAAAAAGTTAACAAAACAAAGTTAAAATGACAAATTAAACATAAAAGTTAAATTAACATAATAATAGCCATATTTAAACAACATTGTTACATGCATAGTGATCTTCTTTAATATAAAGTGCAGCCCTATGTTGTATTGAAACAACCCATTTGAAGCATTGTTTAATTAATATTAATGCACTGATTTATGTCTCTATTGTTAAACAGCATATGCTAAAATATTTTATTTTATCACCACAGACAATTTGTCCAGCTGCATTGATCTGTAAACTTCATGTCTGATTTCCACCACAGGTAGTGACAGAAAGCTCAAGCAGCTTATCGCACACTCCCTCATCTCACACAGCAATACAAACAGATAAGAGGCTACGCTACACTAATTCAATCTAAATCAGCCGAGTGCAAATCTCATCAAAAACAGCTACAGAACGGCAGCAACAAACAAACATTCTCCAGCATATATTCAACAATACTAACAATTATTATAGAACTCTAGTAAAATCAAACAACACTTATGAACAACACTTCAAATACATCAAGAGCTAATAAAGTCTTTCAAGCGTTGTTAAATGTATGGTGCAACAGCTTACCCATGAACTGCATCTCCCATTCTCGAACACTTTCCATCTGTACAGCGTTCAGGTCTGAAAGGTCATCATACTCGTCCCGCAACGCGTCCTTCTCCAGGCAGAATGTTGCCAAACCCCGAGAAGCATCACGTCCCGCAAAGATCCCGTAGGGGCCCTCTGAAATGACAAACACACAGAGTATAAAGGTCAGCAAGACAAATTTAAGAATTTTACGCACAACTTCTAAATACAAGCAGAACTGAAAGTGCAGTATTGTTAGGGGTTACCCACCCTATGGTGTGATCTGATCATAGCTGAATTCTTAAAAAAGGTCATTTAAATAGGTCATATTTTTGCACAATAAAAAACACGGGTAGAGCCAAGCGATTTGGCCTAAAATCAAAACCTCGATTAATTGAACATTTTAACTCAATCACGATTAATGAATGACTTTTTAATTTATTATTATTATTATATACGCTGGCATATTACAAGTGACAGATTTTTGAATTAAGGGTGCAATCCTCGATTTTAAAACAATTGAAGAAAACACACACTATTTATAATCTATGATTGTTTATTGAACATCATCATTGAACAATTAAAACACACATTGCCTACAACCAATAGTCATGTTTTTCTTTTAAATAAGTAAAAATAAATAACTTTTTTTAAATAACAAAATTTATTATTTTTAATGTTTTCAAAAGTAGAAAATAAGCAGCGTCTCTTCTAAATAAAATAACTATTGTATATCGTTTTAAAAAGTGCATTTCTTGAATATTCTGTAAACAAATGTTCATGTAAATAATCATTTTATTGTAAAAATATGGCGTTTCAAGGCATCTTTGCCGCAGATTCCCATCTTTGTCAATGTAGTGCAAACGTGCGATGTGGAGTTACATTTCTTAAGAGGTGTGCGGGTATGCAACCGTGTGAAGGCTGCGCCGGATCATACCCATGCGTTCGACGGAGAAGTATAAATCAGCTTTAACAGAGCAGGATTTTGTGACTCCACACGCAGTAGGTAAAGCTATTTAAAAAAAATTGACCTGGAAAAATTAGTTTGATTATGGATTCTGAACGTCGATTTCATTTACTTTTCGATTTATTGCCCAGCCCTAAAGGGTAGTAGAACTTCAAAAAACATAACATTAAGAGCAGGGCCAGCTAGAACCTGTAGAAATATTTTGCTATTCTGACCAGGGTAATATACAAAAACTAAAATTCAGACAATTTCTACACAATGTAGTATAGGAAAATAATATGTTTATTTAAGCTTTACAGTGCAAATCGAATTCAAAACACTCAATTAGTTAACAAACCTACAGCAGGTCTCTTAATACACCCACTCAGACAGAAAAGATTACTTTGCAAATTGTTCTATTTATTTAATTTTGAAAACATTTGCATATTCAAAAATATTATGGAAATTTATATAGAGACTGAATGAAAAATATTTAAGCACATTAACATAGATGAATAATAAGACTGAACTACCGGGCCAAAATTCTGCAGATTTCTGTGGGGACAGATTCCTTGCCTAGTTAGGAGTTAAACTTCTTTGAACTTGATGGCCACATTTTTTGAATGCATAACAGAACAAATAAGATGAGTTTGAGATGGACTTGTATAACATTTGCACTTGTGTTTTTTTTGCAAAGATATTAAACAGGCAAATTTGAGTTACATGTTGCAACTTTTGACCACTTTATGCTAGGTGTTTTTGGAGAAAAAACTCATTTAAAGACTGAGTAAACCAGAAGCTCCTACCTACTTCAGTATGGTGACATGTCCAACTGAATATTAGGGTTTTGTTAATATCAGGGTATGAGTTTTTTTTTTGCGCTCCAAATTCTCACTCATGAGACTATCCCAGACAAGCTGTCATCTCAAACCATCCAAACAGCTGGGTCGAATGGAGCCAGAGGAATGCAGGTAAACACAGAGCTTCAACAAAACAGCTGTGACTCCTCACTGAATAAGGAAATGAACTAGAGATACTGTGACAATACATAACACCATACCAACAAAAATCACCTCCAGCTGCACAGATTACTGAGGACACACCTCTCCTACCAAACCAAAGCCATAACGGAGGAGCACGACAGACTGATGAACTTCAGTCACCTAAACAAGATGATGTGATAAAGAGCACACAACACTAGCTACATGGACAGTTTTACTTCATGACTGCATGAACAGGAAATAGAATCCATGATTCATAAATAATACGACTGACAAAGGGTTTCAGATCAGGCCTGACGATGACTAGGCTGCTCTGGAATGTGCCATTTCTTTCTTGACAGAGTTTTAGTCAGTGTTTATTCAAAACAGAAGGCGACGAAAGAGAGAGCAAAAAAAAAAAAAAAAAGGCTCTGTGGATGCTTCTTTTTTTTTTTCGGTTCATCATCTGATCACCATGTGCAAAAGCAAATAAGCTCATTCGCACATAAACACACTCTCCTTTCAGCTGTTGAGCAACAGTAGTCTTAAAAGAAACAAACCAGCCAGACATTGACCAAAAAGAGCAGTCTGACCTATGGGCCAGTGATAAGATACCACGTCTGCCTACAAAGTACAAACCTTTGTCATGGTCTCATCAGATTATAAACCACTGCTGCAATAGAACTGCAACAACAACATCTTGATTAAATTGACAATGAAACTAATTGCCAGAAAACTTGATTACTGAATAAGTGGATCTATGAAGCGGAAAACATCATGAAGACACGTCATGTTGATGTTGTGTGAATAATGCATTTCTATGGACAAAACACACACATGATACGTTCAGCAAAGGACACAATTGGAAAAGTGTAAACCGTCCTAAACATGAGAATGCTTAATCTTAAATGCTCCAAACTAACTAGCTTATATGCACAGCAAGATGTAGACATTTGCTACTTAAAAAAGCCAATACATACGTTTATTGCATTGTATCTTTCATTTAATGCAATTTCAGCTTCATTGGGGATCTTCATGAATCATGGCAAAATGATAAACATATAATAAATCCAATAATAAAATGTTCAAACAGAAAAATAAAACCATTAGTCTAATGTAACAACTTCTATTGCATTAAATGTTTTATATTAATATAGGGTAAGAATATTTTTCTGGCAGACCTTTGCTGAATTCTTTAACCGAGTTTACATGAGAGTTTATAACTGGATCTGTTATTTGCGTTATGTTCCTGCCATCAAAACAAATGTTTGCACCTTAATTGAACAAGTAGATAGCTTTAAACGTCTTTACAAGCAACCACGTCAGATGATGCATCCCATGGCCATATTCCGGGATGACAATGCTCAAACTGTGAAAATGGTTTAGGGAGCACGAGGATTCACTGTCACACATGATTTGGTCACCACAAACATCCTTAAGCACACTGAAAAGCAATGGGATGTGCTGCCGTTCTGGTGATTTAAGCCTCCTACTGTCGATACAAGATCTCTGCCAAATATTAGTGCAACTCTTGATGGGAACTTATAAGAAAAATGTGATTTTTTTTTTTTTTTTTTTTTTAACATTGCCAAAACAAATACAAAAAGGCGTTTAGCAAAATATTGCATGCTCAGTTTTTGGTCAGCAGCTTGTTCTCTCAGCTGCTTGATAAATATTTGTGCTATATTTACCGTTTACAGTGTCTGAGATGCGTTTCCTTTCAACTTGAACAGTTAAACTCTTATCTGTAATTTTACATGAGATCGCACAGGCTAGTTCATTAAACTTCACTGAACGAGTGTCGGCACACCAAACAGACCAAGCGCTATAAAAGAAGAGTGATAAATCTGGCTAAATACTGATTTTCTTGCAATACATTAAAAGCAAGCTTATAATTCTGTATGTAAGTGCATTTTTGTAAGAGATAAAGTAATAAAATAAAAGTATATGAAGTTAATAGCTGTCTGTGTAATTATATTTATTCATTCATTTTCCTTCAGCTTAGTCTCCAATTTATCACTACAGCAGAATGAACCACCAACTACTCCAGCATATGTTTTACGCAGCGGATGCCCTACCAGCTGGAACCCAGTACTGGGTTAGCACCTATACACACTCTCATACACTACGACCAATTTCAGTTTTTTCAATTCACTTATCGTGCATGCCATGGGCTGTGGGGGAAACCGGAGCACCCGCAGGAAACCAGTGACTTGAACCAGCAAATTTCTTGCAGTGAGGCAACAATGGTAACCACAGATCTACCTAGCCTTCGGCATAATAATATAACATGATATTACAATGTTGAGATGAGTTCCTCAGACCAGTTAGCATTTAATAGAATTATGTTAAATAATTAAAATGTATAGATTTTTTAAAAATTTTGTTATAACTTGACAAACAAGCAGGACATTAAACATTCTATAATGTAATGGTAATATTAACCCATTCTGTGTCTGCTTAAATTGCAGGACAACATGCGTTGAAAGGATTCGAACAGGATTTGAAGTAAAGTTTATAAATGTAGAAATTTACTAAAGTTATAATATTTAATTTTATATTTAATATAAAAGGATTGCATTTTAACAATAAATAACATGTGCTTTTGTCATTATTTGGTGAACAGAATATTCTGATTTAGTTGCTAGAAAAAGATTAGATGTGTATAAATAAACAAAAGTTCCTTTAAAAAGTCCAAGCAAACAGTACAGCAAATCTTAATAGACAAGTTTTTGACAGGGTCTATCTTAGAGAATCTGACCTGCTATTAAGAAATGATTAAAACAATCTTTAATTGCCGCCTTATTGAGCAACAGGTAAATAAAAGTGATCTAATGTTGTGTGCGGTAAAATGCTGCAAGATGCCACATGGGACTACAGGTGTCCAAGCGAATGACGCACTGGTCAGAGTCTGATCTACTGCTGACACCACATCTTGAGCTCTCCCATAAACGCAGCAGATGGTCAGATAACATATCTCATATATAAATATAGCAGAGGGAGATGTGAGGCCCTATCACAGACACTAGTTTGAACTGTGAATCAAAACATGTTAAATGCAATCAAAGGCAGCGATAATCCACATACACCAATAATATCCGCATTCTCAACTTCATTACAGTTAGATTTCCAAATATAAACTCCAGACAGACAAAAGCCTGCTGTTCTGGCTTTGAGAACACATTTTCAGATATTACATGCATCAAACAGCTGTTTTGCACAGCAGCTGAACGCCTGTAAAGCAGCAAGCGTTTCCCCTGCAGGGAAGGGAGGAAGGAATGAGGCTCAGTGCTTGAATTCTTAAGCAAGGCTGCTCCTAAACTCAGCTGACCTAATATCCATCATAGCAAATCAAGCTGTTAACTTTACATGTTCAAAATAAGCCTATAGATTACTGTTTGATACAGCTCTATCCGAGCTGTGCATACCTGTTGGGTGTGACAGCACATGGCTCTCACCCACTCTTCCACGTCAGACATGGCTCTCGCTCAAAAATGCACTGACATGACCGGTTGATGTCTGGGAAAGAGTTCACCAACGCAAAACTGAGCGGCAGAAAGGTGACCGCAGCTATGAAGAAGATAGAAGTGGCCTGCCAAGAGGCTGGCAAACTCCAATTAGACATTAGACCACCCTGCGCATCATCACAGCAGGGGTCTCTGAGTAAAAAAAGAAAAGAAAAAGATTTACAGTGACCAGTGTTTAGCAGTATGAGCTCTCCTCTGACCAGAGCATTGGCAAGTATAAGCTGGTTGCTTATCCCATGGCAAACTGTTGTTCTTAAAACTGACTAGCATCTACTTTGCACTCATATTCTAGTAAATCCAAACTGAACTTGTTACTCAGATTTTTTAAACAAGTAATCTGAATACAGAGCAATTAGTAAATAACATTAACAACATGTACTTACGACAGGCTTAGTGGCTTGTAATTAGGAATAATCTACTATTGTTACTACAGTACATGCAACAAAGACATTAAAGTCACCAGCAATTTAACTGAATATTTCATCTATGAGTACTCACTAGATGATGATATTGACTCCAGTGTTGCCTAACGTGGGTATATATTAAAGTGCTCGTACTCATTCAGTAGATACTAGTCACTTCTGTTGAAACCAATAGTAACTTCACCTTAAGTACTCCAGCTGCAACACTTGACTTTTCCATCGATACTACTGAAATATTTACTGCAGACCAAAATGAGCTTCAACAGTTGTTTGAATCTAATCTAGGTTTAGACGAAAATAAGATTACACGTTATTCCATGTTGTCGTTACAGTGTTATTGGTGTAATACAGAGTGAACGGCCACAATATATTTCGGTTAACGTTAGTTGCTTTTGATTGTGCGTAATACAAGCATTGCTACTACTATAGTTAGTACGCTAACTTACGTGTAACAAGGACACTACTAAAGTTAAATAATTAGTTTTAGTATAAGGTACTACTCATTCTTGTTTATTAGTCACTAGTCACTAGTAACAGTTATGTATTCCAGCGTTACTAGACTTTGTTGACTGGATGCTAGTACCTTCTCCACAGCTGAAGTTAAAATACCCCGCTCAGTGTGGGTGTGAGCCTGAGCCCTGCGCGCTCCTTACCGCGTCCGTAAAACTTTTTGCCGCTGGTCACGTCGAAGACCTTGGTGTTGACTGCCATGAGGATGCGCGGGTTCTGCACGCCGTCGTAGTCGCGCAGCTGCTGCAGGGTGAAGTCGCGTCTCCTCATCTTGGGCAGCGGTGAGGCCTCACTGCCCCGGCCCAAATCCGCGCCCGCCCTCCTCCACCAGCGCGCGTAAAGCACGTAACACGCGGCCAGCACGAGCACGAGAACGCTGAGATTGAGCAGCATGCCGCCTAAACCGAGACCGGCCCCCGGATCCAACTCCTCTGTTGTCCCCTGATCGCCGCTGGTGTCCGCCACTGCACTCCTACCGTCCCCATCGTCCGCCATACTGCAACGATAGCGCCTTCCCACCGCTCGCGCCCGCCCAGCTGGCACGCAAGTGCTCGTCTGATTGGCTGACTGTCACCGGAACAGCGCGTTGTCTGTCGGCATTTGTAGTTTTCTGCCAGCGCGGCGCCTACGAGCGTATCCGACCAAACAAAGGCTTTTGAAAATGAAAAGGCGCTAACCGTCAAGATTTATGTTTATCACCAGCTAACCGCGATAAAATAATAGTGTTGAAAATGTTTTTAAGTAACATGCAGCTCTAATGCAGATTTCACAATGAAAAAAGTCAGATAAAAAAAATGAATTACAGACAAAACAGATTTAATTCCCTAATCATTATAGGGTAATGTATAATAGTTTAAAATTACAGTGCATAGTGTCAGACCTTTATCTACACAACTTACAATTTACAAGCGTTGTTATAGTAAAGTTAATCCATCTGTGCTGTATTCTTTTCAATATATAAAACTGTTTATAGTGTACACTAAAAGTATTGTTTACAGTGCTCGTGTATCCTGTCTTTAAGAGGATTTAAGTAAAAAAAAAAAAAAAGAAATATTCTGGAAATGTTATCTCCATACCTAAAAAATCTTTAAAATGTCTATTTATCTATCTATCTATCTATCTATCTATCTATCTATCTATCTATCTATCTATCTATCTATCTATCTATCTATCTATCTATCTATCTATCTATTAGTAAAAACAATAAGAAAAACAATACATTTCATTTTGGGTTTTTATAAACAGATTTTAATATATTTTATGATTTTTTTACATTTTACAATTTATGATGAAAGAAAAATTAAACCGACATGCATACCAACACACAAGCGCACACAAAACAAAAATATCACAATAAAATGAAAATCAATAAAAATGAATTGATTAAAATTAGAGAGCTGCATCTAATATTTTTATGTACAGTTTTTTCAAAAGTAAATATGATACAATCGGGACATCATTTCAGTGTCTGATTTATGATCACAAGTGAGCAAAAACACTGATTTAATATCATCAGCCAACCTGCAAAAGAAAAATAGAATGAAATAAAAGTATTGGATGGGCCTCCACGTTTGCAGTCATCTGCACTTTCTCTCTCTCAGTAAAATCAATAGAAAAAAGATTATAATCAATTAAGCTGTCAAAAGAGAGTAAAACAATAAATTATCTCAAGCTCAACTCCAATAGGATTCAAAATTTAAAAGGAAGAATAATTCCTCTCGAAAAAGATAACATTTCTCAGAAACTTCAAGTACACAGATGTTTTCTAATTTAAGTCAAAATTAATATAATAAAAATAAGAAGGTTGAAGATGTTGTCTCTTCATCACCTAAACAGGAGATCTTTGTAAGCACCACTTCCGCAACGTGAACGGCACAACATTGGTTTAAAAGCAGGAACATCATGATGATGAAGATAATGATGATGATAACACTTTTTACAATCCCTCGACTTCGGCCTGATATCTACGTACTTCTCTGATATTCAGCTCAGACACTCAGCTAATCATAAAAGCATAAAGAACTTAGTATTTCACCCCTGTCCTATTTCCTACACAAGCTAAAAGAGCAACAACAACAACAAAAATGCAATAAGCTATATAGTGTGTTATCTGGTGCAACCTCAAGTTCAAGTTAATTTTTTTGTTTGTTTGTTTATTTAATGAGCTGCTTAAAATAAACATACTAAATATGTATGTTGTGCAGGACAGACACAAATTAAAAACACTTAAAAACCAAGAAATGATTCATTATGCTGATGAAAGAGATGTAAAATATAGATATATTTTTTTTGTTTTTGAAATGTAAGGCTTTTGAAAAAAGTAAAACGAATATTAAAAGGAAATAAAACTGCATTCGATGGAGGAATGCATCTTCTGTAAACTTTACAGCAAAACGAGCTGGCCATGCGTACTTGATTCTGAATGCTAACTACTAAATGCAGAAGAGACGAAAGAAAAGAAGACGATTATGGAAGTCAACCTAGCGTTTTGTACAACACAAAGACACTTCTGGTTTACTCTTTGCTTTGTGAATGCAACGGACTGACAGTTGGTCTTTGCTTTAACGGTTTTGACTGGCTCACTTCCGAGGTTTTGGGTGTAAAAGGTAAGCCTGCACCAGCATTCAAAAATCTTTCACAGCTCGAGAGTATCGCATTCAAATACTGTATATAGTGTGGTAAGGGCTTCATTTCTTTGGCTGTTGGGCTTCTTTGTTTTTGCTCGTTGCTGCCTCCGCTTTGCGAGCATCTGATGAGGTATTCTTCTTCACATTCTCTTTGGGTGGGGCTTTTGCAGGCTGCTCATTGGCTGAGCTGCTCTTGGCGGTCAGAGGTGCTGGTTTCTGATTGGCTGAGGCTGCCTTGGCAGCTGGCTGATTGGTGGATTTGGTTGCCGCTGAGGCACCAGCCTGATCATGGGCTGTTTTTGCGGTCGTCTGATTGTCTGAGGAGGTCTTGGTGATTTGGGTCTGTTTCGATGATGAAGTCGAGTTGTGTCGTCTACGTTTCACCTCATCTCCAGCGGAGGAGTGTGCTTTCCTCCTCATCCCTTCCTCTGCCATTGGTGGCTAAGAGCAAAGGAAATAAAATTTGATTTCGATTATAATTAATTAATAATGTTATTTAGAAAGATTTTTTAAATTCGTGTGGACTTTATCCATATGATCCATTTGCAAGAGATATTCACGTACAGCTGATTCTTATACTCACTTCTACTCTGAAATCATCAATGCTCTTAAATTTGCTGAGGTACTCCTTGAGTTTGGGATCAATGTCCTGATTCTTCACCTTTGAGTATTTCAGGAAAGCCCAGAATTTCTCCAGTCCATATAGTTGACCTACAAATAATATGAAAAAACCACAACATTAGCTTAGTCCATTTTAATAATTATATGAAGCGTCTAAACCATGGGTCTTAAACTAATTCCTGGAGGGCCGCAACTCTGCTCAGTTTAGCTCCAAACCTAATCAAACACAGCTGATCTAGTAGTGTCTAGTAGTCTTGAAAAACTTGATTAGTTGGATAAGCTGTGTTTGATTAAAGTTGGAGCAAAACTGTTCAGAGCTGCGGCCCTCCAGGAATTGAGTTTGAGACCTAAACGCATGGTAATGGAAGAAAACACAAGATGGAGAAAAAATAATCTTTGATATTATTTAAATTGATTTGCTAAAAATGCTTGCAGTCAAACATTTTGCAGTCTCTGCACAACTACACTTTAAAAATATCCATTAAGTTGTCTATAGCTTGTGATTTATTGGTCTTTTTCATTTATTTACATTTTTGAATTGGATATTGGGACATTGATCTCTGCTCTCAAAACAATTTTATTATATAAATATATGGGTATTCTTTTAAATATACAGTCACTCCACTCTTAATGACATTGTCTGGGATGGTCATGCACATTAGGGTACAGAAACCAGGTATGTATTACCAGTACACTTTCGTTTTTTTACACATGTATAAATTTATAACTTATTTTACATAACTTCTTATACAATTTATTGTTTCAAACTACTGAAAATATCAGTAACAGCTACTTTAAACAGTAGAGTTGAATTTTAACACTTTCACAAGTTTTTTTTTTCTTCTGGATTACATATGTAATAATTATAATTTTCTAGACTCCTTGATAACTGATAAAAAAAAAAAAAAAAAAGGATTGTCCAAATAACTGAAATCAAACAACTTTTATTAAATTTAACCTTAAGCAAACTTTAAACCTTAAACTTGATATATATTGAAAGAACATGAAAGAAAAAATAAATAAATAAAATAATATATATATATATATATATATATATATATATATATATATATATATGTATGTATGTATGTATGTGTGTGTGTGTGTGTGTGTGTTAATATGACTTCTCAAATGGATAAAGGGATATTTTTAAAACAGAAAAACAGAAACAGAACAGTGCCATCGTTCAGAGATGATTGTTTACTAATAAAGGCAGAGTTAGAAAAAACAAAAAACACCTGACACCAGAGGTGGGACCAAGTCATTGTTTGGCAAGTCACAAGTAAGTCTCAATTCATTGCCCTCAAGTCCCGAGTCAAGTCCCGAGTCAAGACAGGCAAGTCCCGAGTCAAGTCCCGAGTCAAAGGCAACAAGTCTCAAGTCAAGTCCAAAGTCCTGCAGTTTGATTTTCGAGTCTTTTCGAGTCTTTTTAACAGAAAAATAAAATATATACAGATTAGGTATGGTTGTAAGATCTGTATTAATTAAACAAACCTTTTTTTATTAAAGAACATTGCTCAGATATATAAAAATACAAATGCAATTTTCTGAAAAAGTACTGAACAGTGCTGCGTCTCGTCTCCACAGCATAATGCACAAGAACGAGTTCCACCAAAAAAAGACTCCATTTTGCCTCATCACACAGAAATTGCAGGTCTACTGCTGTCTAATTCATTAAGTTTAGTTGTGCCCGTATGTTATGTCTTCGGTGATCAACTTGTGATTAACCAAAATTACATAACCTCAATGAGGCAGCAGTAGACCAACTCCTGTATATGCCGCAAAGTTAAATTGAGTGAAATTGGAATTTTGTCAATTGAATCTCGTGTGTGCTAAAAAGATATTGCTGCAAATCTGTCTTGCAGCAATGTAAAATGGTAGCACATATTGTTAATGAAGTAGGCTACTTCATACAAACAATAATGTTGTTTTCTTCACATAGCGTTGAAGAGCTTTGCTCTCTACCTTGTGTGATGCTCGTGCACGGATTTCCTCTGTTTGTGGACAAAACTGATTGCGAGTTCTCAAATTTTCTCTCGCTCTCAAATATGCACTGCTCACACACAAATTTTCTTGAGCGCTCTCAGAGATTATATGCAAACTCACAATTTGTGTCGTGTTCCCTCTTCCTTTCATGCTTTTTGATATGATTCATATTGCTGCACTGTTTAATAACAATAACCAAAATACTAAAATAGACTTACATATTAAATGTTTAATCTAATAAACCATAACATTTTTGGTTGTTTTATATGATGAGATATTTTCAGTTTCAAACACTTAAAGACAGAGAATAGACCAGTGGTTCCCCCCTGAAAATTTGCTTAAGGGGGGCCAGAAGAGGCCAGCTACGTCAGTGGCACCAATCAATCCACAATAATTTTTTAGTGGCTATTTATTTATTGAAATATTGCATTGTATTGCATTTATGTAAGTAGATTTAAATAAATAATGTCAACAGCAAAATCATATCGGGTTGGCCACAGGGGTGGCTAGAGTTTACACAGGGGTAACACCCCTTGTAAAGGGGTTTACACCACTATAAGGCACCCCTGGAATAAATGTTGGATGTAAAGAATACATTTTATTTTAAAAGCATTTAAACAAAAACTAATGCAAGCAGAAATGTAACTGTGATAAAAATAAGGAAACACTTGAAAAGGTATTATAGTCTACTGTAATCTCACTATCAATCTCATTTTATCATGGCAGCTAAAATAAAGTAAACTAGTGTCTGCTGGCTTCCACTTTACTGATGAGATTGTGGAGGACATTTTCCATGTCATCCTCTTCATTTTGAGGAAAGCTGTTCCACAGGGCCCCTGAACACGTATATTGGCATGTACTGTGTTTTGAACAGTAGCCTACTACAGTAAAGAACTTCAATTGATCAGTTATGGAAATACTATAGTTGCTATGGTAACACAAGTGTAATATAAACAAATTACCCAGTGCTGTATTATTTTACAATATAGGGTATTTTATACTACAAATCCCTACACTTTACTGTAGTAAAACTACACTTTGTATTATTTTATCTGTTCACTATTGGTAATACTACTGTATTATGAAGCATTCATTAACAAGTCGTAAATAGTACTAGCCTAAAACATAAGTATAATACAAGTATACAACAAGTATAATACTCAAAAACACTAGAATTTATTAAAGAATTTACCTTAACCTTTTAGTTTTTTGTGTATTGTTAATAAATAGTGAAGCAAGAAAGAAACCATATCAACATTCTTGGAATAACCCTTCGCTAAGCCTCGCCCTCCTTAGTTACTGTTGCTACTACGCCTGTCAAGCTTTCATGCCTGGCACATCTATTACAGTGTGTATGCGCTGGTGTCAGACATTCCCAATGATTTAATTAGTCATTTTTGGCAAACAGGTGAGATATCTGAGAAAGCCAGACAAAAGAGGACTGCAGTATACATTACAGGGGTATATTCACAACATAATAGCAACTGATTAGAGAATAATTTTATCAAAATTGAAGCAAGGTTAGCCTAGCCACCTCATACGCTGAACATTCAACAGCATAGTTCATGCACAGCAGGAGAGGTGAAAGTATAAAATAATCTAATAACCTAAGAAACTGATGGATTTGTGCCGAATATTAGCATCATTGACCCATAACAGTGTACAGTACCTATTACTGTCAGCATGTTTGTGTGCTCTTTATCCAGTTTTTATTCAAATTTGCAGTTAAGTGGAAGAAAAAAAATTGAAATGCAAATCAAAGTATAAATAACAGAAGTGAACAAATAGATTTTTCCTACCAGCAAATATTAGTGTATGTATTTATATGCGTTACAATAGCGAGGGTTTAAACTAAGCAGTGCTCACAGGGTTCAACGCTAAGGATTTTTTCTACTGGCCCGATCGGGCCAGTGGTTCTGATTTTTACTTGCCCTGCCCAAATTTTCACTGGCCCCACCAAAAAAAAAAAAAGAAGTTAATCGCTATTTGAATGTGCGTGTGTGTGTGTGTATACACACACACACACACACAGTTGATTTCAGAATTATTAGTTCCCCTAAATTATTAGCACCCCTGTTTATTTTTTTCCCCAATTTCTATTTAACAGAGAACAGATTTTTTCAGCACATTTCTAAACATAATAGTTTTAATAACTCATCTCTAATAACTGATTTATTTTATCTTTGTCATGATGACTGTAAATAATATTTTACTAGATATTCTTCAAGACACTTCTATACAGCTTAAAGTGACATTTAAAGGCTTAACTAGGGTAATTAGGTTAACTAGGCAGGTTAGGGTAATTAGGCTAGTTATTGTATAATGATGGTTTGTTCTGTAGACAGTCTGAAAAACAATTAGCTTAAGAGGCTAATAAATTTTACCTTAAAATGGTTTAAAAAATGCTTTTATTCTAGCCAAAATAAAACAAATAAGATTTTGTTCAGAGGAAAAAATATTATCAGACAAAATATCAACATTTCTTTGCTTTGTTAAACATCATTTAGGAAATATTTTAAAAACAAAAAACAAAAGGGGGCTAATAAATCTGTATATATATTTACGGTAATTTTTAAAATGTTTAAGGAAAACTATTCAGTTCATCAAGGCTATATTTATAAATTTAAAAAAGGTGTAATTGTTAAATATTTATTAAAATTTTAAATAACTGCTTTGTTATTGTATTTAGTTTCAAATAAAATAGTTACTCCAGACATTATTGATTTTATAACTTTTACCATTAATAAATATAATATAATTAATATTAGTGATTTCTGAAGGATCATGTGACTGGAGTACTGAAGCTGAAATCTCATCTTTAAAATCACTGGAATAAATGAATAAATTAAATGATAAACTACTTTTGAACAGTTATTTTATAGTGCAACATTTCACAATTTGTATTTATGATGAAATAATTGCAGCCTTGGTGAGCAGAAGAAGCTTATTTTAACATATTTAATCACACTGACCCCAAACGTTTGTGTATTGTGTATAGAATATTTTATAAGTGAAAATGTGCACTTTAATTTAACAACCCACAGACATCGTCACCGAAAACAAATCGAGGTCAGACTTTCTCATATATACAGAGCCTCATTTCAATTGTCAGGTTTTGTAGAAATCGATCAATTGAATTAATCAATCTATTAAAGAAACGTTGACTATAATTCTGTATTTTAGGCTTAAATTATAGAGAGACATAGCAGATGAACCGATACTGCATCAGATCAATGTAAATCTTTCTTTCGAGCTGTCAGTGCGGAAATGAACAAAACAACAGGCCTAATACAACATATTATACGATTAAAATATGGAAAAATTAACAGATAGTAATTTCGGTCAATTTTCCTGACGGATAAACCGAGATCAGGCTGGATAAACTGCTCTCGGTAATATTTCAGCATGCTTTCACTTTCGCATTTACCGGTAAGAATGACATCTGCCCCTGCTCATCATTCCCTCTTCATATAGCCGTATATATGGCTATTACACGATCATAGTACACTGTGATATAGCCTGGGTCGTTAGTTCGTTGCATTGTTTTGTTTTCTCGCTACAATCGATACGCTCAATAGGACAGAGACCGCGTCTCATTCAGGCGATCTTGGACTGATTGATTTGGCGCGGATGCGAGCGCAACTGCTGGATATATGCCAAAAAAAACGCGCTAACGGGTGAAACGAGACAGATTCCGAAACAAACGTCTATGTGTGAAAGCACCGTAAGATTGTATTTGCACACAATTGACAGACAGTCGCAGCACGCAGCTCTGGCTCGATCTGGCAGGCAAAAAGGCAGCAGCTGGCCCGATCGAGCCAGTAACATTTTGTACACTGGCCCGACTGTCTCGCACGCTGGCCCCGGGCCATCGGGCAGTCCTTATTGTCGAGCCCTGGCTCATAATATCGAGTGGGAAAAAAAAAAAAAAGACCGCTGGGAAGCATAACCTGCTTTGTTTTGTTTTTTTTGTTTTGTTTTTTTTTTTATAAGAAACACAGTTTAGATCTGTTTAGGATAAGAGGAGTGTGAGTTATTGCCACCTATCACTGAATGTGAATATCGAAAACAAAACCAACTTAGCTGTTAACTCCTTTACCGCCCCTCACACAGCTTGATCCACGCTGGCATTTCTCCTCTTGGGCTTTGGTTTTGAAAAGGGAAAAAATCCCACCACCCAGTCCAAACTTTTAGGATAGCAGGTGTCAGATTTTCACAATCCAATTGCGCAACGATTTGGCTTGTTTCCCTCGCTCGAAAGCTTGACAGAGCCTCTGCCCGTAGCTACGATTGGTAAGCCGCGATTGGTGGGTGGCGGTTTTTGGGCGTGGCTTAGCGAAGGGTCAGTTTAACAGGATCCCGTGAGAGCAAAATCACTAAAGGTATGAGACGCCATCGTAAACAAAAGTCAAGCGAACGCAAAGAGACTGAATGCACGAGAGAGAGAGAGAGAGAGAGAGAGAGAGAGAGGTGTATGTTGTATGTGAGAGAGAGAGAGAGAGAGAGAGAGAGAGAGAGAGAGCGAGTATTGGCACGCGAGTATTGGCTCGATCTCAAGTTCAAATTCTCTCTCCGTTCGCTTGACTTTTGTCCACTCCGGCGCCTCATAGTAGTCACGTTGGATACTGTCGAATCAAAACAATCTACCGTGCTTTGATTGGACGTCATGCCGAAAGCGCGCATGCTCACACATACGCGCGCGCGCGCATGCTGTCACACACACGCACACATAAACGGAGATAGAGAGAGAGCGGTCTATGTCAACATACTTTTTTATCTTTGGGCTTTTCATGGGAAGCAGCAAGTCTTTACAAGTCAATAGGGGCAAGTCCTAGTCAAAGTCCGAGTCATTTATGTTCAAGTCCAAGTCGAGTTGCAAGTCTTTTTATATTTTGTCAAGTCTAGTCTAAAGTCATCAAATTCATGACTCGAGTCTGACTCGAGTCCAAGTCACATGACTCGAGTCCACACCTCTGCCTGACACTGATAGTGGGCGATACGAAGCAATGGTGCAACACATTTTTATTTTTTCACTTTTTCATGTTTTCTTTAAATTGCTTTTGTCAAAAATGATTGCTTATAAGTTTCTGACCTTTCTCATAATCTTGAACGGTCTCCTCCTGGAAGTCCTTGAAGATGTCCGGTCTGAATCTCCTCTCGAGTCCATAACTGTAAAATCGGAACAAACACTCCAGTCCATACCTGTGAATATACGTAACATGAAAATATATTAGGACACTTCTCCGATAGCACAGCAGAAAAACCTTTTACTTCCTTTACCTGTGTATTCATTTGTATGCTTAACAGGTGTGTACAAATATTATTTTTTCATTTCTGGTTGTGTACTACAAATGCAAAATATTACTCTCAAATGATCCGTGTTCTCAGAAAACTTACTAGGGTAAAATTTGTTGCCATCTCATTTAATATAAATAGTTTGGCTGCAAACAAGTTTTGGTGAAAACATTTCATACTGAACTGTATGACCCTTCATGTTTATAAATCAGCTATTTTTCTGCCGTGACAACTATAAATATATATGCTAAACAGGATTTGCTACAGAATTCAGAATATGCTATCATACAAAACACTTTATGACTTTAAAACGTCACCCATCTCAGATAGGAACCAGACAATGTCCAAACTAGGCAGCCACACGGACGTGTTTTTATATTGCATGTCTAATGTGAACACTTTCAAAAAATGCTATTGACAACTTATTCATTGCTATAGCTAAATTGTTTTTTTTCTATTTTAGGAATGTGATTTATACACCCTTTTGCCAGACTGGAGTGGATGTTTGAGAAAAGCTCCAATTAAACAGGCACAATTTGTCCATACATGATCTGCAGGTAAAACACAGGATTAAAGACTGTGACTCTGACCTATAGTTCTCCTTGGAATCCTCAACAGCAAACTGCCTGAACTCCTCGTACATCTTCCTGTTGAAGTTGTCTCTGAGGAAGAAGGACCAGAATCTGAAGAGGGTGTTCATCTCCTGAGACTGACCCACACCTAACCGCTTCCTCTCTGAAGAACAAACATGAGTTATTTTACGTAAATTAGGTTTGTACAGATAGATAGATGAATGGATGAAAGAAAGAATGCATAGCAGAAAGGATAGATGGATGGACAAAGGCTTTGATAACAACCCTGGCGTACAACTTATCGTACCATTGAGGCATCGCCTGCGGTATTTGTGGTAAACTTGCTGGGTGAAGCCGTTTTCTCTCAAAAGCTCATGGGAAGGATGCCAGAACTTGGGGAGGGACTGCGGGGTGCAGCCGTAACTGCCGGACAGCGCCGGGGCTCCCTCAGACGGAGACGCATTTGAACTGCTGTACAGAGAAAAACAAGAGAGAGAGTTTAACAGAGCCAGCTTTCACATTAGTGCTAGAAGAGTAAAAGAATAAAGCCACAAACCTGATGGAGGAAGTGCGAGGCCTGTGCTCCCGTGAGTCCATCACCCAGCCGACATGGCACTCCAGAGGAGGGTTAGAACTGTGCCGGGTTTTTCTCTTTCTGGGGGTCTAAAAAGAGTCAGAACAATGTTTTAATGCATGAAATGGACGGTCCTAAAAAGTGATACCCTAGTGAATCCCATGGTTTTCTGCATCAAAATATATTTCAAAATTATCTGGTCCTTGGCAGGTCTTAAAAATTGTAGGATAAAACCTCAGATGAACACCATCACCACATGAAATAATGCACTGTGTCATTATTTATTAAACAAAATAAATCCAAAAAGGAAAAACTTTCAGTGTCAGGCTTAAAGGGACGGTTCTCACAAATATAAAAAATAATTTTTATTTCTTTTGATATACTGAAATCTATAGATATCAAGGGAAGGTATACTGAAGAATGCTGGAATAAACAGCCACCGAGTTAAAGAGATGCGCATAAAAAAAACAGTTGATGGGAACACCCAGATGCGCTTAAGTTTTGAAAATGTGCAAAACTGAGATTGATAAAGTTTTTATTCAATAAGAAGAGATGCACACACTTTAATGGAAACACTTTTACTGAACAAATTCCAGTAAGCCCATTAAAAAAGGTCACATGATTTTGTTATAAGAGATCATGTGATGATAAAAATGTGTGTGAATGGACAAACCAGCAGGCTGAGCAGATTGTAAAACATCGGAAATGTTGTTTTGGTCATTCTAAAACACTGTAACCCTTTCAGTATTAGTGTTATTATATTATTAATGACCTCCAGAACTGTCAAGACAGTCTTTACTCTGCGTCTCATACCTTCAAATGCCACCACGTGTTAAAGGCACGTCAGCATTTGTCTTCTGAGGCACAAGTCATTTATTAAAAGAAAAAAAGATCGACGCAGCTTCTCCTACCCCAGCAAATTCCATTTTTACTTTTAATATTTGGCACCAGTTAATCAAGACAATTTTGTTCTCTTTGACTAATGGGTGGAAACGCTGCATTATTCACAAAGCTTTTATGTGATATTCCTGTTTTGTGTATAGATTAAAAATTTTCCAGCATTCTTGTTCACAATATCTTGTTTTTAAAAAAAATAAAAATTGATAAAAATAAAAATCTAACCACTGTAGAACACAGAACTATCCCTTTATAACGTGCCATATTTTTAATTGTCTATAGGTTTACTATTAATTACTCTTTTTATTATTCATTATTCTGATAATCCCACAAAGAATTCTGCTTTAGTTCAAACGTACCTTTCCATCAAGGTTGCCGCTGTCTTCTTTAATGACAGGGTAGAACCGTGGGGTTTTGGTGGGATCTTGTCTTCCAGGTGTACGAGGTGTACGTGGGGTTCTAGGCACACTGGATGATTCTGGGACATCCGCAGGGAGAGAATGAGCCATGCTAGAATCATCTACAGAAAAAAGCAACAAAAAAATTAAACTTTTTTTTTTTTTTTTTTACAAATGTAAAGAAAACCAAGGAACTTCTTAAATATTAAATATTTTTCCTGAGCATGTGTATGCATTTATTTTGTGACACTTTATTTGAATAAAACAGTAAAATAAATACTTGTAAAAATATGGAAAAAAATAATTACATTAATTGTTTGCATATTAAAACAAATCACAGAAAGATAAATGCAATGCTTTTCTAATAGAGAAATGAAATGTCCAATCACCTGTTTGACATGGTGGAGGAGGCGGGACCTCTTGGTTTGGGTCAATGGGAAGTTTAGGGGTCAGAGTTTCAAACTCATCTTGGCTGATCATGTTGAGCTTTTTAAAGTTTTCCATTTCCTAAAAAATATTAACCACATTGACACATTACACACAGAACACAAGGTAAGAGCTAAAAGCATATAAACTACAAGCATCACACTCTTCATTTAAAAACATAAGGAAGGAGAAGAAGACAAAGTGCCCTGAGAGACTTCATGTTTCTGTCTGAATGAACAATGAAGTCATCACCGCTCACTGTTTGACAGCAGGATGTGCACTTGATCAGCTTTACCAGCACTTATTACTCACAGGAGCTCACAAATGACATCTTTATTGTCCATCATAAAGGCTTCAGCTTACTTGGCTATTAAGAGTGAAGCTTTCAGGCCTTAAATTAGACATTACGTAGTCAATCAATCAGAAGTTTTCCAAGAATATCCTTTACATTAACAGAAAGAACAATATATGGACTTTGCTTGGACCAGCTGACTTGCATAATGATTTAAATTTGATGTCTCTGCTATATCAGTGACCTGATCTCACAGTACCCAAAATGTTAAATCAAAAAAGTTAAACGTCAATATAATTTAAAGCGTCATTGTTTATTCATCTGTGCTATTGTGGCATGAGTGGGCTTTATCAAGTATGTACCAACAAAAATACATCTTGAGTGTTAAAAAGCAAACAGTGCGTGGTGAATCCAACACAATCTCAAGGCAATTCGTAACTTTTTGATTTAGTGGCTAATTCGTATGAATTCGTACGATCTAATTCGTACAATTTAGTACGATTCGCTCATCACCCAATGATGTTAGTGTTAGGGGTGGGGTTAGGTGCCACGCCTCCTTTTTAAAATCATACATTTTCGTACGACTGAACTTGTACAAATTCGTACGAATTAGCCACTAAACTGACAAAACGTAAAATACTTACGTTACACTTCGTGAGATCAGGCTGGTGATTCCCATCATAATGGTATTCAAAATTATTCTATAATCCAAATTATGAAAATTATATATTGATTCAATCACAAAGACAGTCACTCACTTAGTTTCTAAATGAATAAGATTTCTCAAATGACTCACTTAGAGTCAATGAATTCCTCATTTAAACAGTGACTTGCTGCCACCTACTGGTGGTTTTAATGTCACATTTTTTCCATAACGGACCTAAACCAGCCAGGGTATCAGCTCAAAGGACAAGAGTTATCAGTTTTTAGCACATTCCTATCAAAAACTAACTAATTTGAGCAAAGCCACATGTTCTTGTTTCTGTCGTTTTGTGCAGCTGTTTATCAGGTGTCTGTACTATGAACTTCAGCCCACAAAGACCTTGGCACGGTTAACACAGGTGTTACGAGTCCCATAAGTGGAAAACAGAGAAGTATCTGCAATACCACTGTACAGTAAAAACTCACTTGACATCTGACAAACTAAACAGTTACTCACATTCATTGCATAGGGAACTGAATTATATTAATATGAATGGGCACGTCTAAACAAGCATTTTAATCTAAGAGTTAATCAAGACCACAACTCTACTTACTAAAATACTAAAAACTTGTATACATTATAGGTCACATGCTTTCACGGAGCTCTTGTCTGATTGGCTGACTGTAAATGATACATTCTTATTAGTATTTGTTATTACAGTGAAAAACAAATGCCAACACTGTGTACTCCAACAATTAAATCCAGACACTGTGAGAAAGCTGACACAACATAAATTAAATCCTAAAAGATATTACCCTATTTCAAACCCTAAAAAGGTCTGCAATCGCATGCCAAAATCCTAGAGTGCTCAGGCTGACTGAGAAATCGGTCAGAAGACAAAATGTGCTGTTTAAATTCAGATCGTAATCGTATCTTTCTGTATGTTTGTCCAGCACAGAACAATTCAAACATTTGCAGTGGAAAATTCCCATGTTACTGCTGAGTGTGGACATTCACCAGAAACCAGCAGCTGCCAAACCAACTCCACACTAAGCGCAATTTACTGTGGTGGTTCTATAACTCGTGCTCTCTTTAAAGGAAGCTTTTTTGTTTACATTAGAGTTCAAAAAGTTTGAGGTCATTACTTTTTTTTAAAGAAATTTATATTTTCATTTATGCTTTGAATTAAACGGTTTAAATGAGTCATTAGCTATCTTTAAGTTATAAAAAAAAGTGTATTTAATATAAATGGTGGCCTTTTCTATTACAAAAGTGTTAAACAATAAAAATGTCTTTGAACAATACAAACATTATGATAACACAAAGTGCTTCTCCACCAAATCATCTTATTAAAATGATTTCTTTAAGAGTTTAAAGCAGCACAGGTGAGCATTATTCTTTACATCTGGCTTTAAGATATGTTTTGCTTGATTTGTTTCAAAATTGTATTCTTCCATCCAATCCACCAAAAAACACTCATCAAATGACATCAGACTAAAATGAGAGATAATGCAAACTAGTTATCTCAGAGGAAGATTGGTTGAATATCTGCTCTGCACAGGCCACTTCTTTTGCTCTGGTATGTGGCAAGATTTTTACTGGAGGAATCAAAGACAAAGACAAATAAAAGACAAGTATTTATTAAAAAAGTGGCTACAACTCGAGCCCCCTACAAAATCTGAATAGTTGGATAAAGTCTCTATTGTTCAAAATATGGAGAGAATGACTTTTTCTTTAAAACTACAACTGGACTAATACCTGCAATATTGGGAGAAATTGATTGTACTTATGCGTTTACACCATGTAAACTGACCTTTATATGTATTTGTTAATGGGACCTGTAAGGAAATATATGACCAGTCATCTGTTACTGTATATATACACAATTATTGTATATATTATTTGTATTTATAAAGTATTGAGGATTTTAAATCATGGTAAACAGGGCCAAAAAAAGTTGAACATGGCCACTGATCAGGGGTCCATTCTTCGTACGTGGATTAATCAGTTAGCTGGATTTAGATGTTGACGATTTGACACGATCCAGGATCGTTTCGTTCTTCAATGCTGATCCGAGAGTTGTTGTCATAGCAACAGTTCTGCTAGGTCAAACCTGGTCGGGAGCAGGTTCAATTCATATAAACAGGATTAGATCGGCTCAGTTCAAGCTAAGATAATACAGAAAGTATGTTCCCAATTCTGATATTTTCTTACAGTAGTAGTTATATACACTTGGGAAAATGGTACATATTTTTAAACTATATATATATAAAGTTATAGTCATTAATAAAATAAATTAAGTTATATATATTAATAAAACTTCAATCTGCACCCTCAAAATGAAAGTAAAAAGACTTCCACCTGGTGGTGCAAAGAGAAAACTTATTGATATAAACTTTTTAGACCGCTTTAGTACAAATTGTGTATGATAGAAATGCACAATATGTGACTTTTTTTAAAGCAATAATACATTTATGCAGTCATAAACATGTTTTGGCAGTTAATATGCCAGTGATTTGATGCTTCACAAAAGTTGCAGACGCCTTTACCAATATGAAAATGCTTTTGTAAACAACCAGTTATTCTTTACACCGATTAAAAAACGGCTACTATAATAAAGAAAATCTTTTCTAAATGTGGAACTAAATGCACTGATTTGCATTGAAATACATGATGAATACTCTTGACACATGACAGTGTAAAGCCTGCAGCTCACAACAAATGTGTACAGTTATTGCGTGTCATATTTAACAAACCGTTTACTGCTAATTTGATGTAATTTTGCTCACATGGATAATTGAATATTAATCAGATGATGTCATTACGCTGCTGTGCCGTCAGCCAATCGTTGCATTGCTGATCATGATTTCGAGGATCGATAGATCTGTCCTTCACAACACACGCAGCGATCTCAGATCAGTTTATCCAGACATTCTAATCTGATTCGCGAACTTGTTTGAAGAACCAAATTAGCGAGAGATCAGTTATCGAGATTAAAAGATCCGGGATCTGCCAAATAATCTTAGATCATTTAAGCGAGGTACGAAGAACAGACCCCAGTTTGCTTTCATAGTGTAAACACTTTAGTGGTTGAATGAGCATGACTCAGGCGGTCATCCAGGTGGTTGTGAAAGTGCACAAAATTAAGTTATATTAAAACACACAATCTTACATTTATATAAAGATCATTCATTTGCTTTGCGACTCTATTGTATAACACATAACATGGAGTTTTTAATTCAACGAAACTCACACAAAAGTAACGTAGATCATGATGAAATGCGCAATGACCTTAACCAAATGGGAAGCATCTTAACCCAAGAGCTTTTCCAAGCTATACACTTACTAATATTCTTCTAAATCTATTCTTTCTAAAAAAAAAAATATATATATATATATATATATATATATATATATATATGCTAAAATGTTATATACAAATGTTTATGTACATATACAGATGGTATTCTATATACTGTGACCCTAAATCGCAAAAATCCTTAGCTGTGTCTTCAGAAGCTGCATCCTCCGAAGGATGCAGACTTCAAAGGCGAGTCCTTCTAAGTCCACACAGGATGAACCGAGCACTTTGAAATAAGACGATCTAGCCTACAGAGGACAGATCTCGTCACCTAGCAACCGTAACAGCTGCTGTCAATAAGTGCCGGTAAAATTTATAATTACTTTTTTTTCCCAAAGTGATTTTAAAACTTATTTTAAGCAATCTACAGGCAAAACAAGGTTTATAAAAGCTGGAAATATATTTGCTTTAATCTATGTACACATAAACATGTAAACTCTCTATAAAATCCCTCTTTACTAAAACAAGTCATACTTTTTTTTTATATGTGTTTAGATCTCAACTTAAAATAAACCTAATTAATACATTTAAACTGGAGTTTTTAAAAAAAAACGTCCTGGCGTTATCAGCGCGCAATGAATCCTGGGACGTAAAAGGCCACAAAGGATCCATCAGTTGTGTCCTTCATTAACTAGGTAATGAAGGATGCATTGTGAGGCTGCGTTTGAAGACAGAGACAGCCTTCGTTGTGCTGCGATGACGCAGCCCACTTTGAGTGAATCCTTCAGAGGATACAGCCACTGAAATGAGACACAGCAACTGTCTTATTTTATTTTTAACTGACATTCATAAATCTCGTTGTATTCATGAGTTTATATATTCATTGATGTATAGGATGGTAGGGTTGGGTCAAAAGACAAACCGATGGCCGATAGCGATGCTGAGGCGACATAGCGATGTTCCGCCCTGCCCGTGTCGCAAACCCGCTCGTGAAATAAACACAATTAGGCACTGTTTAAACTAGTATGTCTTAGTTTTAAAATAGCATTTTATGACAAAAAGGATCCACGTCCATACTGCCGTTTTATCTAGCATTTCTAAAAAAGCCCTCCTTCAACACTATACTGCTAAAAATGCACATTACATGACCACAAACACACACACTCTGTCATGTGCTCGTCTGAAACCCCAGAGAGTGCAGTGCAAGTCGTACAGTTTGTCAAAGATGTACTGCTGGATCGTGTCTAACTATAGTTGTTAAATGTGGTATTTAATTGAATATCTCTCTATCTAACGACTCTTCGGTCTTTTGAATCTATCAGGTAACGTGTCACAGCATCAGTACACTGCTTCAATCTTTTGCTTTCATGTCTGTACTTAGTATTTTTAGTAAAAACCTCAGACACTGTTGATTGGTACCAACCAAGTTTGTCAAAGCCATTATAACGAGTCCCACAGAAAAAGTGATTGACAGGTGGTAATTTGTTTGTAACTTATCTTTGTTTATTTATGATTTGGTTAAAGGCAAACAAAAAAACATGCGGGTCAGGCAGTTGACAGGCAGACTAAAAATTATTAATTCATCATGAATTAATTTTTATTCATAAATAATTAATTCATCGTTGCCTGTGACAACGATGCCATCATCCGTCGCAATGTTTTACATTAGACAATGTACGATGCCAAATTGGTCGACATCGCCCAACCCTAGGATGGGTCTGGGTCAAGATTTGGTCGAGATAAATATGGAAAATATGGAATTTAAATACTGAGAAAATCATCTTTACTATCTAAATGAAGTGCTTAAAGCATGTTACTAATCCAAATTGAGTTTTTATATATTTACATTAGGACATTTACAAAACAATCTTCAATGGAACATGTTTTTTGCCAAAAAGATACCCGTGCAACACAAGAGAGGTTTTGTGGTCAAAAGTCACATATCTATTTATAAATGCATATATGTATTTAGGGATTTTTTGTATTGTTCTATCTCTTTACTGTTAGCACTGCATGTTCTCTCCGTCTGCCTGTTTGAATTGCTTGTTCATAAAAAACTATAATAAAACTGTTAATATTGCCTTGGATCTTCTGCCATTTTAAGAAGTACACTGAAAAAATAAGCACTCTCACCTTGGCATTGGCACACTCTGGCGGCCCTTCTTCTTTCGTCCAGAGATCCTGCTCATAGTAGAACAGTCCATCATTAATGGCTTTGGCGAGGTCGGCTGTAATTTTGGCACGCGACACATGGTTGCCCGTCCGATCACCACCAGGGTGTTTGCGGAGGTGAGGAGGCGTCTGAGTAACAATCAGGATCTTGTTCACATCTCTGTCGTCAAGTTCGTCATCAGAATCGTCATCTGACCAATCAGTGAAAGTGTTCTTGCGAGGTGCAGCAAGCTGCTCCATTTCCTCATCAAACAGGAAGTCCAGCTCCTCCTGGTCGGCTTCAGGCTGAGGCTTTGGGGTGGACTGAACCAATTCTGTGCGCTCCTAAAGAAAACACCAAATTGAGTCTTATTTCCGTTTAGTAAATGAAAAACAGCAGCAAGCAGAGGAAAAGCAGAAAATGGGAAAATACTCAACTGCAGATGGGAAGAACTCAAGACGGGGAATAGGAGGAGGAGGAGAAGGAGGTGGAGGAGGAGGAGGAGAGGAAGGAGGGCTAGGAGGGAGAGGAGTTACTGAAGTCTGCACAGCCATAGGGCAGAATAGACAGAGGAAATGATGGATGAAGAAATATGGAGGAAAAGAAAAGAGCAGCGTGAGTGAACAGTGTTAGAGAACCTAAAGCCGACTGGTGAGAAACGAAGCAACTTGAAGAATTATGACATAATAAAAAGACAACTTTTTTTTTTTAAACACAACAATTGCGTCAAATAGTTTACAACTGTGTGTGTTTTAGAATAATTAAAGCAAAATAACAGGGATGTACACTAAGCTGATACCATATCATTGTTACTATATATTTTATTATTAAGTTGGTAATTGTAACAATATTATATTGCCATACATCTAAAATAAATCTAATATAGCACTTTTAAAGAAAGAATACAGAATATATTACACTTGCGTTCATGTTCAGTGAAAAGCAAGAACGCTGGAGGTCACTTTCAAACTGTTATACTTGGCATGGTTCGGATAGCCTAGTGGGTGTACACCCTAAAACTGTAAAGGGTTACATTAATTTATGTATAACTTATCTCTTTCTAAATAAACCTAACACTACATATATATGTATATTTTTTTACTCCATTTACAGAGATAGGCTCCTAAAGATGTGTGATGTGTCTCTATTGTTAATGCTGATATTTGACGTTAATTTTACATTTTAATTTGAAAGCAACTTTAAAACTGTAGTTTTAAATTGGGAAAAGTGTAATGGTCAATATTGTGAATGAAGCCCCGCCTACTAGTACAGGAGCCAATTATTGATCGCTATAGATTGATGTTTCTTTGGGGAAAGAAGCTCAGACCAAACATGTGCTTTTACGACAGTTTGGTGGTCAATAAAAGCAATCTCAGCGAACATTCGCTTCACAGACAGAAATACACTTGAAAACAAAAGTTTTTTTGTTTTGTAATCTGTATGAAACGAACGTGAGGTAAAGTCCTTCCTGTCAAACGCACATCACCTGACAGCAACTACACACATCCCCACAAACTTCACTGTCATTTTTGGAGGAGATTCGCCATGTACCAAGCTGTTGATTACATTAGAAGATCAGCGTGATCAGACAATCATTATTCAGATGACGAATGTGTAACACGGACATAAATGAGGTTGATGTCGCGCTCTCACTATTCTCACTATCGATCGCCTCTGTATATTGTGCAACAATATTGTATGCTCTCATTTCCAAAAACTAAGTTTTTGTATCATAAAATACTGATTACACTTAAATGTAGTTATTTGATACTTTCAATGTATTAAACAAATTTTAAACTATGTATTGTTTCTATGATTATGGTTTTGGTTGTGATATTTGTATCTACTGTTGGTTTTGGTATTTGTTTCTGTTGTGTTATTTTAAATGTTTTTTATTTGTATTGGTTTTGATGATGATTTGATGTAAATGTGTCATTTTGTTTGTCAGACACCAGGAAGAACAGCAACTACGTTGGCAGGGGCTAATGGGGATCTAAATAAACACATAAGCCTGTCCACTTTAATACCTAAGCTCACTTGCATTTAAAAAGACTTAACTTTATTTTACATTAACTTTCACTTTATTTTTATTCACAAAACCCTATTGCATTTTAAAATCAGCAAATTTTGGTATTTGTAAGAATTGACAGGCAACATAACACAGCGTCTTATGTCAGAATACTCTTAGTGGATCCAGAAGTACCTTATTTTTCCCAGATGTGTTTCTGTGTCGTTTCTCCACCTGTATCCACGGCTGTGCATCTGGATCAGAGAGACTGCTGGAGCGCTCTTTAAGATTACTCCCATCCTCACCAGAGCTGCTCTTTGAGTCTGAAGGGGACGATTCTTTGGACTGAGGTTTGGCTGTATCTGTCTCATCGCTGGTTTGGCCATTCACTAGAGAGGGTTCATCCATGTGCTGATTAACTGGAGAGGACGACACTGAGATACACGCAGAAACAGAAATAAGTTGATGAGTCCTGGATTTTAAAAATTAAGCAAAATAATAGTTTAACTCAATAATACAACAGAGCAAAATATAAAGTTAAATTAAAAGCCTTAAACAGCAAAAGCAGGACCTTAAATAACAATTGATAAGCACCAAATTGGTGTTAAAAATCACTGGCAAGTACCCAAAATGATGTTTACCTAATTTTTTTCCACAAACAAACACTTTAGCTTTTTAAATTAAAAACTATTACATCCATTGGTAGGTGTAGCATGACTTTAGTTTGCTATACATACCATTGGCTTATTATAAATTATGGTGGCAAAACATAAATATGCTAGTAGCAGGTGTAGCGAAACATTAGTTTGCAGATATGAAAAAGCAACACACCAGCGAATACTCAGCGAAACACTGTAATGGCTGGTGTAGCAAAATGTTATATTTAGGCTGTGGGAGGAAGACATGAGAACCTGTGCTGAGGGAGGTAAACGTCTGTCCCGGGACGAACTCTGGGCAGTTGATGAGCTGGGAGAAATCGGTGCGCGGGGAGTCGAGAGCGAGTGCCGGGATGGGCCACTGCTCCGGCTCCTCTTTCCTACGAATCTGCTCATCCACCAGCTCCACAACCTCACTGTTCTTCAGCGCCTGTACAGACACACAAAAACCTTATATGACACAGACTGCAGATAACCATCTCTGAGATGTGTGTCCTAAAAAAGAGGCAGGTCAGGGGTGAAGGTTCAGTGCAATGTTCACCTCTTTAATAAGGTTGATGTCAGTGGTGAGGGCCTGGACTCTGTGGAAACTGGCGATCAGAGAAATGGGCAAAAAGCCTTTCGAGTCCATCCTTCTCCGCAGGAAAAAGTCACGCTCCAGGTTTGGGAGACTGAAGTAGTATTCACTAAGAGCAAAACAAAAACAGCCATCTGTAAACACCCAAATAACAATTAAACAGTGCAGTTTCACATTTGCCGCCCTGTAGTTACTGCATATTTAAATACTGGCTACAAAATAAGATACAATTACATGGCTATAGTTACATTCACAACATATTTAAAGCTGCTAGTAACATGCTGAGCAGTTAAAGATGTATAAAAATAAAAACTTTATTACCTCTGAATAGTATAAAAATATACACTACCGGTCAAAAGTTTGGGGTCAGTAGGATTTATAAATGTATTAAAATAAGCTTATCCTGTTCACCAAGACTGCATTTATTTAATCAAAAATACAGTACAAATTGCAAAATTGTGAAATGTTATTGCACTATTTTCAGCTTCATTACTCCAGTCTTCAGTCACATCATCCTTCAGAAATCACTCTAATATTAATTATTATTATCAATGTATAGTAATAGTAATACAAGTAATACTGACTGGAGTAATAATTTCATTTGAAACTACATATAGAATAAGTAGTTAATATATATTTAATTTTTTTTTCATTTAATAAAAGCCACCTTGATAACCAGAATAATTGAAAAAAAATAATGAAAAATAAAATAAAATAAATAAATAAATAAAATAAACTGACCCCAAACTTTTAACCAGTAGAAAATATTAGTTAATCTGATACTTTTAATGATTACATGCAAACCCGACTTATAGCCGATAATAGCAATTTTCCACCCCTGCAGTAATGCTTTAAATAATATAAAAAAAATAAATAAATAAAATAAAAAAACGATAGAAAAGAAAACAGAACCAAGCAGGACACAAAGGTCTGAGAACATAACAGACAACAAGCATTTTATTCATTTGATACACATTTTTATGGTAATTTATAAAATCAATCTGAAAGGAAAAATGAACATTACAAAGTGTTTGACGATTTTCTTTCTTTTTAATAAGCAGGACTTCAGCCACCGAATTTTACATTTTCATTCAGTCTGGTTATGTTTGCAGGATTGTAAAATAGTAAGTAGTTATTGTCAAGCTATTTTGCTACTTGCTGGAAAAAGAACCTTGGGAATAATGAAATCTTTAATTATCTTATCATCCCTTACTCTTTTCCCGCAGCAAATGCATTCAGACATCAGGTTTTTTTCTCTTCTTCTACCTCTGTCCTCTGGGTGTTGTGTGTGAGGTGAGGAACAGATCAGTTCCATTCAGATGATTCTAAGCCTCTGGCAGCGCTCCAGTGAGGCCAGGTGCAGAAAAAGACCAAACTGCACCATCACTGCTGAATTTCATATTTAAATACCGCAAACTAAATGTCTACAGCATCTCTGGACCATTTGTTTTGAAAAAAAAGCTCATTAAAATTCCTCAAAAAACACGCATTCCTTTGACAAAACCACCATAAATTCAGAGATGAGACTGATGTGCTGCATGTAGAATTCAGAAACCCTTGTTAACAGCAATACTAGTGGAGATTATGTCAACTGGGAAGACATAAAAGGTCTTATTTTGGAGAAGTTTATAAAAGTTGTTCACACGTTAGCAAATAAAAACCTTATACATGATCTTTCTAATGTGTTAGCTTAACCACTTCTGCCTCATGCCTATTAACACACAATAAGACTTGTGAGCTCTCCTGTGAACAGCAGTGGTCTGGGAGGAACGAGTGTCTCCACCCTGAACACACCTCACATTCCAGCAGCTTTAGTCAGCCGAGCTTGGAACGTCCCGCGAGCCGTTCTGACATTGATTTTGGGGAGTTTCAGCAGTGATGTTGTGCAAGATTCACTCATTGGTATGTTTTGGTGTGAAATCAATCTCTCCTGGCAGAATATCCAGGAGACACTTTAACTCCATTATATTTATGTTCACTTTTTTTACAATAAAAAAAATATAAAAACTAAACAAGGACTAAAACATAATCTATAGAAGCAATCAGGCAATTGTTGTTGGGATTAAAATACTTGTTTTATAAAGCTTTTTTTAATATTCTATTTTTGGTATTTCTGATACTAGACCATGCAAGCAAAATGTCACAATAGTACAATAGCATTACTCTCATTAATATATAGGGGTGTAACAGGTCACAGTAGATTTGTGATCTGTACAGATCAAAACCCACATTTCGGAACACACTTGGCCCGCTAATTAATTTCTTTATATTGTTAATATTCTTTCCCCATTCATTTTACTAATATTGTATTACTAGTATTTTTGAACTTCCCACGAAATTCAAATCACATGTATGAAAGGATTTTGGCTTCCCTGTAAAATATAATAATGACGGAAAAAGTTGTGGTGAGACCTAAATACTATTTTAGGTTAATAATTAAAAGGTGTTTTCTGCCACTTTTTGTTTAGCCTGCAATTAAATTAATTAAACATTAAAAGATTGTGATCTCAATTTGTAACCTACTCAACATGAACGATAAATGTTAATAATGATTTGCATATGTTTATTAATTCTTCGAAGTGCTGCATTTAAATCTGCGTTTGATCAATTGAGATACAATTTTAACACTTTTTCAGTTTGTTACAAACAATTAAACAACACAGAAGTACTGGGAGAACATGTCCAGATATGAACACTGATGTTTATGGTAAAAATTAAAATCACCGTTTAATGGTACTTGACGCTGGTAAATGTTGTAGCAGTTACATTGAGTAATCAATAGCTGGCGACAAACATCCATCAAAATGATGTCACTGAATAGGTTTTCAAAAATGATCTACCTATAATGAAATGAGAAAATAAATTTGGTTGTAGAAGAAGTGAGATTTCGATATTTCGCATTATCAGTAGCAAAGATAATTTTTCGTATTAAACATTTTCCTTTCTTTCAGCTAAATCTTTCTTGATTTTTATTTAAATTACGGGTTCTAAGTTCTGCTTGTAAAACCAATGGTTTTTGCAGTAATATTTTTGTATAAATGCAAAGCAAATAGTGTGTTATCCCTTTATTGCGGATCTAAAAAAAATAGTCCGATTTGTGACTTAAAAATCGTAGTGTGATCTCAATTGTGAGATTTGTGATGTTACACCACTCTTAATATATATTACTACTCACAGTTTTCCATAAAGTCTGGAAATTTCCCATATTTCCAAAAGAGAAGATTCAACCGTTTTTAGCCTCACAAAAATTTCTGTACATTTTCTTTCTGATATTTTCATTTCATTCTTATGTTGAACAATGTTGTAAACCGATAGACACTGAATTTCTTTGTAATGCTTTTCTGTACTATGGAAGTCAATGGCGATGGATTTCCAAAAGTTCCTATATTATATATTTAATAAAAATATATATTTATAAAAAAAATCATAGTGTGAGTGTGTATGTGCGTGCACATGGGGTGACTCTCAGCTTGCTACAGTCACAGTGCTGAAATAAGCTTGGCTGAACTCTGTGAATAAGATTACACGTGCAAGAATGCACACACACAAACAATAACCTCATGCTGGCTGGCAGAGGCAAAACGTGAACCCACACACATGAACCAGTCCAAATTTACAAATTTGCATTGCATATGAAATGCAAAAGTCATTATTTGTGATAAACTAGGAAATGCTCCCATAAACACAACACACCCAGCGTCCTATGCCCTAATCTCTCTGACCCAGATCATCTGACCCTTTCTCCATCATCCAGAAGGCAGACGAGCTAAATTAAGGACAAGCTAAAACAGGCAGTGCAAGGCCACCCGATGCTGCAGCTGCTCCCTCTGCTGGCACTAATGCAAGACACTGAACACACGGTTCTACAGTATACTACTAGTCAAAAGTTCGGCATTAGCACTATTTTCATGTTTTTGAAACATCACCTTTCTCACCAAGGCTGCATTTATTTGACCAAAAATAAAATTGTCAAATAATTTTACCTTTTCAAATGTAAAAACTGTTTAAAAGGAGTTTTCTTTTTAAATGTAGCATAAGTCATTTATTCCTGAGATTCAGCTTTCAGTGTCACTACAGAAATCCTTATAACTGTTCTATAATAATCATTTGTTATAGGTGCTCGATAATCATCATTGATTCTAATACTGATCAATGTTAAAACATTTGTTTCAAAAAGAAAATGTGCAGTTCACTGTTTAAATGCAAAATCAAACTCTGAACTTACATTTGGCGTTTGATGTATTCTTTGAGCAAATTCTCCTCAATGGTATACATCTGCACGCGATTACCGTCATTGTAGTAATAGACCATGTTAGTACCGAACTCTGCTGGAACTGAATTCCCATCTAGGTAAGAGTCCCGGTAACTGAGGGAGTAATCACCCCGACCTGAAAACAGAGAGACGTGAAAGAAAATTCATTTTGAGATTATAGCAGTTCTTTTGGTCCCCAAAGTGAACAGAGATCTATTTTGACTAAAGAGATATTCTGTTACTGACTGACATTTTGTTTTAAAAGTGCAATATACTGCATTTATTCAATAAGTTAAATTGTTCTCTGATTTTTTAAAAGTAAAAATCTAAACAAATAAGCTTTCATACACAAAAAATATATAATAAAATAACGATTGATGGATAGATGGATGGATTAAACACATTTCCTTAAAGAAATCTAAAAAGAGGCTTCAAGATGTATTATTTTCTAGTTTGAGGGCAAAAGATAGATTTACAAACCCCACCAGCGATCTGCTGGGGGACAAGACAGACAGTATGACTTACCAAAAAGTATGAGTAATATAGCAAACAATGTACAAAGAGTAATACTATCCATCTCAAGAGCTGTCGGATTAACATTTTCTGGAAGAACCCCAATAGCAGCTTTCAAAGGCTTTGCAACAGTCACATTGCAGAAGTTGATTATTTAGCAAAGATAAAAAGATAAAGTTATCATTAAATATATATTTTTTGATTATTTACACAATTATGACCATGTCATTCTACATTTGATTGTTTAACTTCTGTACTTGAATTCTGTTCGACTCCCCAGACAACCATAAAGCACTGTTTATATCTTTATTTTTGCTTGTAAAAGATTGTAATTTATGCAGATGAACTGCATGGAAAAAGACTTGATCATCATTCAGTTGATCTAAATTATATATATATATATATATATATATTCCCCCCCAACCCCCCTTAATCTCGTGCAGTCCTAATTATATATAGCTAATAAATTTAGTCCATATATCCGATTCCCATATTGGTAAAGATTTAGATGAACTGAAAAGTAAACATGGAGTTTCACTTGTCCTGTTTTCACTTGTTTTACTGGATGGAATTCTGAGCATTCTTTCGTTTTCAACTAGAATGTCATAAAGCCACAAACGCACGGTCATATATATGACAGCTATTTTAAATACACAGTCTGATAGTAAGCAGAGATGTTGAAGCCGTTAATGGGTTTTTTTGGGGTTACCTCGTCCACGACCTCTGCCCCGTCCACGACCTTTGCCCCTGCCCCTGAGGCCTCCGCGGACATTACTGCCCTCACTGCGAACACTCGCTGTGTCATCAAAGAAATCTCTCTCTCTTCTCCAGCCTGACGGACACATGACAGAACAAGAGCTTCAATTAACAGTCATTCAAGGATAAATAACGATGTCAAAAATAAGCATCAACGTCTCAGAGACCATCAAAACATCTTTACTATTTCTTTAGCTTAGTTTACTTTTTTAAATTGTTCAAAATAATTCAATATTCACAGTGAACTTTTATAAGACACTATATTCGTTATTTAAGATTAAACACTATGTAAGCAGCACTGGCTATAAATGTGGCAAAAACAGTTGAACATCATGAAAACTACACTTTTTTCAATATAACATTTACAACAATTAACCAACTGTCTTAAAAGCAGTTAGCATATATATGTTATTATTACTAATATGCATTTAAAAACTCTACTAGAAATAACAATTATATAAAATATTTCAACTTAATGGATGATAAAAATTGTAATATTATTCCAAGAGAATTATAAGACCCTCTCAATGAAATATTTGTGATTTAATTGTAAAAAAAAAATGGCATTTTATTAATATGTTTTATTTATTAAAGATATCTCAAGATATTCTTACATAGATCACCAATTAGTTTTGAATTTTGCTTCAATAAATAAGAATAAGAGAGTCTTACATTACCAATTCATGTATGTACAAGTTAGTGATGTCTGTTTTGAAAATAACAACAGTTTCTCCATTGATAAGAGTGAGCTCCTACTCTCTCTTTATTTATTTATTCTAATAACAAAATAATATAAAGCAGATTTTATATTTATAGAGCTCAGTACAATTGAGTACACCCCATTTTGAAAATGAGTATTTGTATCAATTGTATCAATATTTGTATCAATTGTGTCAATCCCAGTGAATGTAGGCAATGTATTTTAGAGCATTTAAACCAAACAGATTTATTAAACAGATATATATTTATTGAATAATATTTTAGTCACTAAACATATTTAGAAACTGAAAAATAATACAATTACACTCAAGTAAAATATTACAAAAATAAATTACAAACTACAAGATTTCAACAACATTTTTCCATTTTTGTGCTTCTCTTGATTTTTCCCTTTTTTTAAATTTACTTTTAATATTTTTCTACAACATAAATTAGAGTTTACTAGTTTTTAGACTATTATCGTAATTTATTTTGTTAGATAAGCTCTAGATTTGGCTTCAGTACTAACTAATCTAATCTATATGCACAAATATAATATTGTATAGCTTCCTATTAAAAATGTGAATTTGAAAGAGATTTGTGAGGGGTGTACTAATATATGCTGAACACTGTATTTGGTTTAACACATAGAGAGTGAAGGAAACTGATAGAGAAGCTTCCCAAAGGCAGTCTGGGGGTTTACTTTCAGTAATGCTGTACATCCTCCAGTACATGTTCTGCCATAACATTTAGACAATATTTCACTGCATATTACCTCAGACTTTAATCCCAAAAAGACATGATCTAAGATTTATGAAGTAATTAAGGAACCATTTCATTAAGCAATCAGAACAGTGTAATACATCAAGGATATTAAGTGTGTGTGTGTGTGTGTGTGTGTGTGTGTGTGTGTGTGCGCGTGTGTGTGTGTGTGTGTATCTGTTAAGGCATGCGTGTGAGATTTAAAGCATTTACGTGTCTGAAACCCGCCCAGGTATCATGACCATTTCTAAGCTCTCAATCCTTTTACTGTCTCATCTTTCCTGTCTTTTAGCTGAAAGTTGCTGCTGCGGCACGTGGGATCATGTTCAAGTTCACACACATTTTGCAAGATTGCATGAGTGACTTAGTTAGGATTGCTAAATGATTATCCTAAGGAAATCAGTAGTAGCTTTGAAACTTTAACAAAGACAGTGAGATTTGCTATGGTGAACAGATGTTTAAAAGTCATTTCTAATCATTTTATGCTACATTTAAATCTTTATGAGTGTCTTTAAGGTTTGTTTTATTTAAGAAATATAGTAGTGCTTCTGACAATTTCAAGAGATTATTCACCCAAATTTGAACTTCCTTCACTTGTTCCAAAAGTGTTTGAGGTTTTTTTCTTCAGTTGAACACAAAAGGAAGAATGTTGGAAAAAGACAACCATTAACTTTCATTGAGTTTTTCACTCCTAAAACAGTTGTCAACAGCTGCTATATTTCCAGTTTGGTGTTCAACAGAAGACAGAAATTCATTAAAGTTTTGAACCACTTGAGTGTGAGCATTCATTCATTTATTCATTTTCCTTCGGCTTAGTCTCTATTTCAGAGGTTGCCAGAGCGGAATGAACCACCAAATATTCTTGCAAATGTTTTACGCAGTTGATCCCCTTCCAGCCGCAACCCAGTATTGGGAAACACCCTTACACACTCATTCACACACATACACTATAGCCAATTTAGTCTATTTAATTCACCTATACCAAATGTCTTTTGTCTGAGGGAGAAACAGGAGCACCCTGAGGAAACCCACGTTAACACTTGGAGAACATGCAAACTCCACACATAAATGCCAACTGGCCCAACTGGGACTCAAATGAGTGACCTTCTTGCTTAAACGCATCATTCAACCCAAAATTAAAATGTTCACCTTAATCACATTTATTCCCTTAACTAGAATGCACTGACTTTTAAAGCCCTGCTGAACCATTCAGGGTTTTATGTTACATTTACGTTTGACATTTACCAATAGTTCCCCATGACCGGCCACTTTAAATACCACTGTGCTTTGTGTTTTCAAACAATACACCTAATTTTCCAAACATTTAAAAAAAAATTTGAATGTAATAATAATCTTTTTATTATTTTAAACAATACATTAAATAGATCCCACATGCGATCGATGTAGGCATGCTCCTGCTACTCTGCTGCACATGTTCTGGACATGTTCACAGCTTCACATATACTGCATTAGTATTTAGAAGACCTTCTGTGAGGCATTTGGGGTAGAAGTAGAGCCATCATCATTTCTTGCGTTGTTCGGGGTGGCCCCTGAGATCGCTCCTCTCAACACAGGACAAATTAAAATGTTAGCCTTTGGTTCTCTTCTGGCTAGAAGACTGTTATTGTTTAAATGGAAAAACTCTATTCCACAAACACATAATCACTGGATAAGTTGGAGAAAATAAGGCATACCATCAATGGGTCAGTTTTATAAGGTCTGGCAACCTTTGTTATGCACACAACATAACAATATGAAAAACAGGAACTTGTGTCATATTTTTATGTAATGTTTTCATCTTTTATTTTCTCTATAGACATTTGATTATATATTGTTCCTAGATCTGGTATTCTGGGAAAGGGGTGTTTTGTTTTTGTCTTTTGTTTGCTCTGTATAACGTGACAAACAAATAAAAAAACCTTGAGAAAAAAAAAAAAAACATTACCAGATTTATTCAGAATAGAACTCATGTTTTTATCATCTGAAACAACCTGTGACTTATATTGCAAATAAAGTAGAGTAATATTTGAAGGCTTATTTTTAAATGTTGTTTATAATGAATGCACTATAATTCATGTTTTATAATTTGGTTCATATGTACATTATTCTCATCTCTTTCGCTCTTGAATATGGGAAAACTAAAAGGTTAAGTTTATAAAATAATTAGTTATAAAAATACATTTCATAAAAGGAATGGTTTCAATAAAAGCTGCCAGTTGCTTATTTTATATCATTTCTGAAAGATACTATAAAATACGACTTACACAAAAATTTATTTTGTTTTTTACTCTAAGTAAAAAAATCCTAATTAAGCCCAACATAGTTTCTGGAAAATATGGTAAAACAAGGCCTAAAATGCTCACAGTGAAAGAAGATGAATAATCCTTGTTAAATGGTGTATAAGCAGTGTTAAAGTGCCAAAAGCTGGGTATTTTGGCACCTTTATTATCATATGCGTTTTGTTGAGGAATTAATTAATCATCTGTGTTATGGTTTACATAAAACTTGACAACCAATCCAATAACTTTGGCACAATTGTCTTTAACGTCAACTTTGCCATGCTGCAATCATTACTGCACATATTATTACAATCCCTAAAGCCAAGTCAACATCAGCAGAGTGATATACAAAAACACTTTAAGATTCTTGTACTGTGAACAGAGCACAATCTAATCAAAAAAGCTAAACAACTGGGTTGAAACAAGTCAATAGTAAGTGATGGCAGAATTTAGATTTCTTGGTGAACTCTACCTTTAAGACAACCAATCAGAGATCAAGTATGGATATGCAATGAGTTCGATTGCCTGTTTACATGTCTGTAATGGACCGTCTCACCTCCTCTCCTGCGGGGGGCGCTGCTGTGTGTTTCCTCTCCATCTTCTGCCTCCTGCTCGTTCGAAAGTCCCGTGATTGAATTGGACTGCGCCTCCCTGTTCTCCTTACTGTCACTCCCATCACTTCCACTCTCCTTATCCCTCTTCTCTCCCCCATGATCCTTCTTCCTCTCCCTCCGTCCGGACGTCCCTTTCCTCCCCTGTGTGTTGATCACATTCTGCTGCTGCTGAGGAGTGCAATCAAATCAATCTCTCAGTGAATTCAGTCTGAACTCAGCAGAATGAAGCCAGCAGTGCAAGCGGTCAGACTTAAGACACACACATTTCTCCTGCAGGTTTGGAAGCGCATGATTTGAATGACGTTGCAAAAATGTATTCACTTAAAGCAATCTTAACACTGACATGAAAATGTATTCCTAGCACACTCATTGAAACATGGATATATGAAACAAAGGAAAGTGGCAGCTTTTAAATACATTGTTAATTTTAATTGACTTATGTTTACATTGTTTATCTGTTGAACATCCGAGAAGGTGAATATCCACTTTGCAAAACAAAAAAAAAATAAAGATCTATACAGTTGTACTGTTTATTTTATTAGTGTACTGTATTACAAGTCTTAAGGAGAAATATAATGCAGGCCATCACAATATTTGAAAAGTAATAATGCTGCTATTATCAGAAAAAAAATAATGCTGGGTTTAGAATAAACTACAGTATATCAGCAAGATTCATTGGAGTAGGGTGATGTGGTGATTTGTAAACCTAAATCAATTCACATTTACTTGTATATGGCTTTTCAAAATATTTATAGTTCCAAAGCACCTTCATAAAAGACGCACATCATTACATTACAATCAAAATCAGAAAAGTTAGGGAGTTGTGTAAAGCAATGGTTCCCAAAGTGTGGGTCGGGACTCCCTGGGGGGAGGGGCCGCTTGGTGATTTCCAAAAATCTCATGTATGTTATTAAACAATTAGAATTACCATATTTTGTCCAAAACCTCCAGAAGATAAGAATAATATTTAACAGTTACATAAAAAAAAAGTAAATAAAAAGCTGTCAGACTTTCAATTCTTTTTCCATTGGGTTGCGACCCCAGGGGTTATTCGCTAGATTAAGGTATTTTACGATACTCGCATACAATAAAAATAAAGGCCGTGACTGAACATGGAGGACAATCTCCAAGTGGCGGTCTCCAAAATTTAACCGAGAATGGTCTTAAGGCTGATTTATACTTCTGTGTAAAGTGCATGCGTATGCCTCGGCGCAGCCTTCGCGAGGTCGCATAGTCATCACAGTGGCTGATGCGCACCTCTCAAAGAATGTAACTACATGTCGCAATGACACGTAGATGACCAGTATGGGTGGTGCTAAAAGCCGCAAGCCCAATGGAGTGATTGTTTACAAGTGTCAAGTCAAGTGAAGGAGCTCCAGATGGAGACTTTTGTTCAGTGTTTACCTTAAGTTTAAAGTTTTTTCATGTTTGTCGGTTCCAACCTCTGAATGAGCAAGTTTGTGCTACTTAAAATAAATAAATACTCGAGAAGAAACTTAACAAAGAGGAACATAAACATCTACTGCCAGCTAGCGTTTCTGAAGTATTACTGTGGAGCAACACAAACAGCACACAGAAATATAAATGCATGACTTTGCATAAGGCAGGCGCTGTGAGTAACGCCAATCACTCGACGCAGAAGAATAAATCAGCATTATGCCGTAGACATTGTGCACACCATTTTTATTTAATAAATAAATTATGACAATTAAAAATGACATGGTTGTTAGACTATTGCACTTTTTTTGTGTTGTCAATGCGCTACTGTTCATAAAGTTTCTATTGGTGTGTGTACACCACTGTGTGCAATGTTTGCATGTTTATAACATCCTTTAAGGGGTTTGGAGTCACTGGAATTGTTATTTTGGGGGTCGCGGGTTGAAAAGTTTGGGAAGCCCTGGTGTAAAGTGTTGGTAGTATATGAACATAGTTAAGCTGCATTTATATACAGTATATATTGTCATTCCAAAAAATATAATATTTACATGTAATAATAATAATAATAATAATAATAATAACAACATGCAACAATGAAGTATATTTGTGTATTATTTGCTTGTTGTCCCTGAAATTCTTAGATGGTTGGCATCATCAAATGACAATGGATATTGGCATGAAATAATCAACAGCTTTATCTCAAATAATGTTTCATAATAGACCATAAGCGATGCTTTTAGCCACTATTTAAGCTGGTTTCTGGAAGTAAGTTGCTTGCTATAATCTGTATGACATCACACACACGCGACACATTATTACAGATGTCAAGCAATGATTGAGTAATGTTTAGTGTGTAGTCTAACATGTTTCTAATTCGTCACACCACAAGAATGTAGGAGTAAAAAATGATCTGATACTGTTTATAGTTAATATATACAAACATACTATTTAACCTCAACCCGGAATAAGTTGTGCTGCCAAAATTGCATTGTATGAAAGTGTAAAACAAGCTAGGTGTGTAACTAAATATAAAACATGTATTTTAGCTTCCCAACATTTAAAAAAATAATTTACAGGGGAAAAACATATTAAAAATATAAATATTATATGAGCTATCCAAATTATTCAAAGTGATATTGAAACATGGTGTGTGTGAGAAATTCCCTATACAAATGCTGACATACATCTCGGTTGGTTGTAATGCAAATGTGTGACGCTTCGAGCAGATTATGCTTAACAGCATTATGCATGTCATTCTGAAATGACTTTCTTTAAACAATGCTATGATATTTATATAACGTTTAATATGACAATATAGGACGTGTAAATAATGAAATATAACACAAATCATATGGACAAGTTTTAAAGATATAAAAAAAAAATAATTCTGAGCCTGACAGCGAGAAGTTCAGACACAGACTTTAAAGTGTCATGAAACACCAAAACACATTTTTTGAGCTGTTGACAGTCGCATACGTGTCTCGAACTGCTAAAAACACTATTAGGACACATATATTTCACCAAAAGGTAAAATTGGTAGTTTTTGCGTTATTTCGAGCAAATTCGTACTCCCGGTTTTGTAACGAAAGCTGCGTCACGACCATGAGATCTTAGCGTGTATTCCAGCGTGTAGACTGGACGTCTGTACCTGGGAGTTCCTTATGATGTCTCTGAGTGTGCTCCATTAATGCATGAGTAATACTTGGTTTAAACTAATAAGTGCGGTCTATTAGTGTATGCGGTGCAACTACATTATAATGCATGATAGCTTCCAAGACTGTTTTTACAAGTTAAAGAGTTCAGATGGCAGAGAGACGCCGCAATGCGTTGCCAAGCGGGATGAATTGTTTGGAGATACAGGTCGTCAGTGTTGCGTTTATAATCAGCTGCAGTGAAGGTTTTGTTTTCATTTTCTCTCTATGAGAGCACAGCTGGACTCACGTGTGGATTACAGTGCATGCGACGCTCTACAGAAATGTGCGTCTAAATAAGATTTTTTACTTGAGAGCTTTTCTCATCTGGAAATGGTGAAACCAGGATTTACTGCTCGTCTCCTTTTAATAAAGATGCGGATCCAGATTGTGTTGATGGTCCTGTCTCTACAGATTTGGTAAGTGAGCGACTAGTGGTCTTTATTTATTCAGAGGCATAGTTAGTTTGTATCGTCAGCAGTACTCTTTCAGTATTTAAAGACAGACCTTAGTCAAATTATTTCTAAGTTAATAAAGTTTACCGAACGTTAATATTACTACAATATTATGGACTGAAAAATCTGCTGTAAATGCTGCTCTATGTAAGCACCACAACTATACTTACAGTCGTGGAGGATTTTTGCCGCATTTTGAGATAGGAATAACACACTGCTTTCTGACGCTACCTACCGAGTGCATCTAAGTTGCAGAGAAATGCGGAGGGTTTTTTTCTTTTATTCGCCGTGCAGTAACAAACATTGCATTAAAAATACAAGCTTCCAGCAATGCCTTGAATCAAATATCTCGTTTGTCACGAGGGGCATGAATGAAATTCCTGAATAAAAGAGCCAAACTGCAGTTAAAGTCCACCATTTAATAATTTGGCAAATGATTCGATTACTGATGTCCATGTAAATACAGTCACTGTCTTTCTCCTCTGCGTCTGTGTTTGTTTTGCCTGTGTGATAATCAGCACGTGCCCAAACTGACACTCCCATTTTTATGCAAATTTTTACAGACCATGCCTTCTTCCCTCCTCCGACACTCCCACTAAACAGAGCCGGACATGCCCACTTTCCTGACTTTTTCCAAAGTAGAGGTGTGAAAACATCCTGCTGAAACAAGAGGGTTTCATGGCCCTTTAATGTATGAAAAAGATTATATATTCTGCTAAATGTCTCCTTTTGATGCTAGGATTTAAACATTTTAGAATACGTTTTTTTATAAATAAGCACTGTACAAGACCATGTAGAAGTTTCTATGTTTCTTTTGTAATGAAAAGCTGTTTGTTTTTAGATTATTCACAGCAACAGAGTTAAAATAATAATAAATAATTTACTCCATTTCAGAACTAGAGGACGAATTATATTTCAGGCCTCACCCTTTTCAAAGTGGTTTGAAACATCACAGTAAACACAAAGAAAATATAAAGATTTTAAAAAATAATTATATTTTACTTACACTCTAAAATAAGAAATCTCTCTTTGAATGAATCATTTTAGGCTATTTTACATTTTCTTTTGTGTCTTTTCAAGTCATTTCAAGGCCCCTTAAAATGCCCATTCCCAGACACTCCAGATAACATTTCACTAAAAAGAGAGCATTTGTGGCTACAGAAAACATACACAGCCTAAAGCAAGACATGGCTTTATGTGCAATCATCACAAAGCTCTCTTTTAGGCAAAACTGATAAGAGAAAACCACATCAAAGTCACATGGAAACTAAAGAATCCATCCACTTTCATATGTAAATGATATTTTATAGACCTAACAATGAAATAATTCAATGTCTATGAAGCTAACACTACATCAAATGACTGGCTTTGAATGAATATATTACAATATCTTTCTCACCTCCTTATTGGCCAGCTCTCCTGGGGTGGGCCAGTTTGTGATGTCACTGAAGTCGCTTGACTACAAATAGAAAGAAGCAAAGAGAAAAAACAAAAACAAAAGTTACATCTGAACTACAGCTGCACAATATATTATTTCAGCCTTGATATTGCAATGTGATCATTCACAATAGTCACATCACAGGATATGCGATGTTGCGTTTGAATTATAATTTACCATTTGCATGTGTTTTTGATGCCTGTGATTGTATAATAATTTTAAAAACATTCAGGCATACAAAAATAGTACCAGACTTTATAAATGATTAATTTTATTGAATTATTCAAATGTTATCATTAAATTACTGTACTTAAATACTGTTAAACTTGGAAAACACTAAAACACTTATTTCAAACTTTTGCTTGATTGTTTCTCAGGGTTTCTGCAGGTTTCACCAGACTATCAAATACACAAGACATGTCACTCATATCATTTTGAATGGGGGAAAATTGTAACGGTCAATATGTCGAATAAAACCTGCCTTCTAGTACAGGAGCCAATCATCGATTGCTATAGACTGACGATACTCCAGGGGAGGGGCACAGACCAGACATGAGTCACTGCAGATTTTGTGTGATTCGAATGTTTAATAATTAAACTAAAGAGACAGTTGTTGTGTAATTTCATTTGTGATTTCTAATATGGAATTCAATCGTAAGCTTGCCAAGCAATTTTGGAGAATTTGATGTTTCCCCATTCAGACAGAATGCCCAAACATACCGCCTGCGAGGCATTTTAAGGATGGCCACAAAGTGAAATGGCTTGTCCTAAAGTCTTACATTTAACTTGGTAAAACCCAAAGTCCCTTTAAGACCTTTTTAAGACCATTATAAATCAAATTTTAGACTCATACAGGGTTTAACGATGTCAAGTTTTTCAAATGGCCCAGATGAAAAATATTTACATTTCCCTCATCAAAAAAATTATTAGAATACATTTAATTATACAATGATAACTTTATAATAACAAATTTTAATACTGTATTAAAACAAGCAAGCTGTAATTGTAAACATACACTTTTTTTAACATAAAAAAAATTAACAAATGTTTTAAAAGTTTGAAAAACTATAATACATTAAATATATGCGTAACAGTCTGATCAGGTCAGTGTTCGCAGCAGTAAATACATTTGGAAATTTTAAACAAATATTATTATAAAGAAATAATTAAGCCATTATAGTAAAGAGTTAAAAATGACATTTATAATAATAAAAAAAGATTACTGAGATGGATTGTTTGTGATTGTATGCGTGTTAATGGCCAGATTGGGTAGCTATAAATGAGCAAATTGAAAATTAAGATATGTTAAAAAAAGATTTAAGACCTACAACACAACATTTCAATAAATTTAAGTCTTTTTAAAGTTTTAAATTCTGTTTTTGAGATTTGAGACATTTTAAGACCCCACAGACACCCTGGTATTTATAGATTGTTTATTGGATTTTATAGAGATGCACTCTCAATGCAGAATCATCCTAATCGATCTAACATTATACATTTTGTCCAAATAGAGATATTAAGTCATCTGGTGAAATTGTATTCATATTGCAAATTAAAAAATATGGCATTGTTAGATTTTTCCAATATTATGCAGCCCCAATCTGAGCTGAAAGCATTCATTTATATTTACATCCTACACTATAACATTAACTTATTTCAAACAATCAGAAAAACAACACTATTCCCAAATCATTCTCAGCTGAAAGGCAATTTGCAAACGCATGCTCTCTCAACGTCCAGTTTGAATGATTTATGAATGGCAGCTGCTCTGCTCCTCTGGCCACTACTCGTCAAATAATCCCAGTTTCCACCTTATACATCAACTTTGCCACCATTTAACACACAAAACATTATCCGGACGCAGTGGGGGAAGTGCGGCTTTCCTTTTTTCAGAGATCACTTCACCTTCTATTACTGGAGGAACGTCAATCATTCCCTCAAGCCGAGAAGCAACCCAGAATTCCAAGTGGTGTATCTGATTCCACTATCGTCCTGAAATGGGTCCTGGGTGTCCCAGATGCTAAAACTGAATTTGTAAGGGAGCGCCTTGAAGTTAAACGGTGTATCCAATGTGAGCTAACAAGGTTTAAGATGATCGACGCAAAAGTGTCACATCCCACATACGCACAAAAAAACGCTAATGTGTGAGGAACAAGCAACAAGCTAGAGCTCACAAATGTACAAATCAAGTGCTGTACGCGTGTGTAAGTGGAGACCAACTAGCATGCCTTGGAATCAGTCATGAGGACGGCTCTACTGCCCCTGTTAGGACTGAATTTGAGCCCTCTATGTGCTCTCTCTGGAATGTCCCGCTGAGGTAAAAGTCAAAAACTCATGTGCTGACTCTCTGTTGACTGTCACCCACACAAAAGACTGAACAGAGCGAACAAATATCCACTTAAATACAAACACAAGCCGAGCTGCACTATGACTGCCTGCCGCTGACCCCTGATCCGGGACATTCAGACGACAGACTCTGTTACACAAACAGACTGGAGGAAAAACTGCAGATTTACACAAATAGATGGACGAGGGAAAAAAATGTGGTCTGTCCGTATGGATTCAGGTAGCATTTATAGTTATTTGCAGAGATTCCTGTTTATTATTTTGGCATGTTCTGAGAGGTGAAATGGCCTCAGTCGGTGATCCTCTATATATGAGAGTGTCTTACCTTACTGGTCTTCCTTGATCTGGGTTTGCTGGCACGGACAACTTTGGCAGGACTCTGGGGTTCTGTGGACACAGAGCAAAAACATGAGAATGCGATTATATTTAAGGCAGCTCATTATAGAAAAAAGAAAGAATGAAAGATTAAAAGGAGGAATAGCAAACAAAAGAAAAATGAACAAACTAAAATTAAACAGGATTGGCAGCAAAAAACAAATCAACATGAAAGTAACAAAATGAAAGGCAAATAAAACAGGTCAAGAATGTATTTATAAGAAAAATGAGCCAGCAAACATAATCGAATAGAATAGAACAAAAATAAATTAAATTGTTAAAAATACAATTAAATTAAAATAAAACAACAAACATACTAAAGAAAATAATAAAGAATGAACAAACATGGAAGTATTCATTGAACGAGAAACAAATGGACAAAAAAAAAAAAAACCAAACAAAAAACCACCTAATTAGTTATCTTATGACAACAACTAACATCCTTTGGACTTTATTTAAAGGCATATTTGTAACGGTGTAATTTTACATTTAATTACTGAGCAATTGGCATGGAACGATAACAGTTTTTAAGGTATACCGCGGTTTGGAGTCAAGGGTTTTAAAAATTCTGCTATACCGTTTCTAAGGTACGTGTACAATTTTATTTACTTTTTTTAGGACAACTATTTCCAGCAGAAAAGATTTCTAAAATTTTGTTTTAAATTGTTTTTGAAACTAAGAAAGACAGCAAAAAACAATAGTTTATTAGAATAATTTAGCCTGACATGTTTATGTTTACTGTTCCAAAACATTAAAAATGTTTCCTTAAATGAAATATATTTTGTTTAAAAGGAAAAACAAGTGTTTGTTTTTTACCCAGACATTTAAAAAGAACATATTTTAGAGCAGTAATGACAATACCGCGAAACTGTGACATTTTTATCCATGGTTATCATACTGTCAGAATTGTCTAAGCAATAGAGATTGACAAATTGTGAATTTTTCAAAAAACAATAACTACCACACTGACCAAGCACCAAATAAAATCCTCAAACTCCAACACATCTCCCTAGAGTAATAAGTGTTGTAACATTATTACTGCTTAAATTAAAATGTATTTAAAAAAAAAAAACAGTCGTTTATACACTAATACAAATAGATACTTAAAATGGTGACATTAAAACATTACTATCTGACCTGGATGTGTTTTTGTCACACTGTTGAACTATTTGATGAAGTACTAATGCTGGTCTCCTCTCAGGCTTAAAAGCAAACATACAGTCATATATTCTGTACTAATGCAGCATCCAGTGAACCAGTTAGTTACTGTATAATGACATCATATATAAGATGTACTGTAGTGTGCTGTATGCATGCTGTTTAGTTGATGTTTTAAATAAGCAACTGTAAAATGCATTCTTGACCCCTTCAAAAGTACAATATGGCAGAAGATCCTTTTTATAGGTATCAGAAGCAACCCAGAAAACCTATTGGCAAAGATTTTTTTCAATAATAAATGGATTTAGCAAACCGTTATCACCACCGTATTTGTGGTAAAACTAAAACACGTGTAACAAACAAGCACACTGTAAAATAGCATTAACCTTTCTGTTAGACTTCTGCAAAGTGCAGAAACTCTGAATGCAGAAGCACATCCGTCAGCTAATGTGAGCCTGTGGCATCTATCATAAGCTCAAAATAAATGCTTAAAGCAAACTGATAAATATTACTCGCTTTATTTTCTAAGGCAGTCTGATCACATTCAAAGAATCAGACTGACATTGTGTGAACACTATATATGGGGTATAGTTCACGCAAAGACAAATATTTGCTTTTCATTTACTAAACTACCCAGAGTAAAGAAGATTTTTGCTGAAATTGTAGACTTATGATGCAAAACAATTCTGTGAAAGAAACTGAACATTATTTACATTTCTTAACCACAGATTGAGCAAAAAACGTGTAACAACAGCCTGAGCATGTGTTTTGAAGCACAGGGAGTTAAATTAGTAACATTTTGATGAACAATACAACATGCGTCCTCTCTCTCCACTGTAAACAAACAGTGTTAGCTCACACATGTGTGTCAATATGGGACAGAAAGCTTGTGCTCCGTGCAGACTGGCTAATAGTAATGTTGTAAATGATATTAAGCTTCTTGCACTAACCAATCAGTTTTACTTCATAACACCTGAATCTGTCACAAGGAATCACAGGTATTAATTTTGTTTCGTTTGTCACAGTGCTAGAACCCACTGACTTGCATTTAATAAATCAACAATTAGCACAGTATTGAATAACATCCTGGATGGCCTGAAAATTTGTAAATTAGCCAAATATTCATTTTTGGATTAACTGTGCGTTTAAACTCTTAGGAATGCAGTTAGCATTCTTCCAACTGTATTCATACCAGTTATTTAAAGACTTTATTGATCATTTAATCACAGACACGACACTGACGACAACCACCTTTACTGTACAAATGTCCACAGAGGAAGAACTCTGGATTTGGGGTCGATGTGGATCTAGTTTCACCTTAGCCAGCGGACACGTGCAGAATGAACTGAACTTTCTATGTTTAACTTGAGCGATAATGACTCGAGGGCATTTACACATTAAACCAACTGTAACATACAGTACATGTTTACGTCTGTAAAGTAGCCACGTGAAAACAACTTTTAAAAAAGTAAAAAATTTTTACATTTTTGCACAGTCACAGCAAGTGCTTATGAAATAACTCTCTGGGTGTATTGTATACAGCATTACTCTAAAAAACATCTGCTTGAACAATAGGACCGAAAGACTTCTGTGATACAGAAAACAGACAGAATTAAGTCATAAAGAGAATTAAAACAATTACCTAAATAATGGTCAAATTTTGCCATATTTTTTTATTACTGGTGCAAATAAATTTGGTTGAGGTTGAGCTGATGCCGTTACTGACTTGCCAAACTAATAACTGATGACATTCTGTTGCATTAGAAACTGCGCTGTCATTCTCTACAACGCTGATGTGGCAAATATTGTGCAACAATGATTTAGTTAAAAGACCTTTCATTCACAAATCATCATTTTAATGTAGCAAAAGTGACGAGAACCCCAATTAGAAATGTTTTTTAGTCTGACTGAATTTGAATATGATTTATTTTATTGAATAAACCGAGTACTGCAATTTAATTACAGTCATTTTAATGAGTGATTTCACAGTCTGTTTAGTATCCTACACATGCTGAATTAATGCACTGCATTGAAGAAAAAAAAGTCTAACTTATTATTAAAACTTACTAATTATTGTTAAATTAAAATGTTTTATAATCTAAATAAATGAAACATATTTTTATTCATTAAAGTGAAGAAAAAATAAAAGCAATAATAAAAAAAGAAAAGAAAAAAAAAAGTATAACTTTGAGGGGAAAAAACCATGGGCCGTACATGAAGCTAGACTACCCAAAAACACCTCCAGGCTACAAAACGACATAACTTGAGTTAATTAATAGCTCTATGAATGTTCATAAATACTTCATTTCTATATTCACGTGCCTCAACACTACATTTTTGTCCGCTGCGTATCCCACATCTGCACTTAAAATGTACAAGCGTCTATCTCTCCGGTGTGTCTGGTCAGTGCGCACTAAGTGTTGTGGTCAATTATCTGGGAGCTGCTTCACTTAGATTGTAAACCCACACACCAGCACCTGTACAGCGAGGTCACGCTTCCACACATGTAAAACATTAACTTCCTCAGCAAGATGGAGCCACAAACAACATCTCTATGAGGGCTAGTGAAAGTGGAGTCATCCGTGGCATTCAAATCCCCCCAAACACAATGACAAGGCCCCTATGGGTATTTGCTCCACTGTTCTCACAACTAACAAAGCGCTCGGCCTTTCCTGAAAAACTGCCCTCACAACCTCACTATAATGACAGATATAAAACTGCCAAAAACAACTTAAATCTTGGTGTAGTCTAGCCTAACGTCTGGATTATTAAAATCAAGAACGCTTTCGCTAAGCACCAAGCATGCGACTCAACTATTTGTTTGCCTTTTGATGAACATTAATCCTTTTACTGCAACACTCGGAGCTTTAGATTTGCATAGGAGGAGTTTAAATTCTTTGTGGTCTTATAGGAAAAACAACCATAAACAATCTAGGTTTACCATTTTGACCTTAAATCACATCAAATCAACGCAATTGTTTAGATAGAATGCAGTGTTCAAAGCTTTTCTCCCCTTTTGGAGAAACAAACACTTTGTTTTAGTTGCCAACAAAACCGGTTTAAATGTCTTTACTTTTTCTTGGCAAAAAAACAAGGGCTGTCAGGATTAAACAGGCAATAGAGAGGGACGCCCATTCCTGGGAGTGTCCGGGGTCCTTTATCATTACAGAAAGGATGGCCTGTGTGATAAGGCACTGGGCGCTTGCTGACAGTGTGGGGTGTGACCATCCACTCTTACTGATACTGTCCCGTCGACACCTTTCTGTCAGTGAAGAGCCGCCCGAGGCTGAAGAACTTAATCAGATGCATTTAAATCACTAAAATGTCAAGTCAGAAACATGAAGGTAATTGGGCTTCAACAAAAACTGGAACAAAAAGAAGCTTAGCCATCCTTTCTGAAGTAAACGAAATTTGAGTGTCTGTAATTAAAGAATAAACATATTTTCAAGTTCTAGGCACTTTGAGCAAGTTCATGGTATTTATGTTCATATGGTCTGGAAAACTGTCTACACTAATTTAATGAAAAGTTAACATGGAAAATTGCAAACGCTATCCAAATTTAATTTAAAAAGTAATGTAAAATTGAGTAACATGTGAGTGTACATATCCTTAGAATCTTATGATTTAAGAAAAAAACTTTTTTTTTTACACACGTCATCAGATGTTCACTCATAAATCATTATATTTTGGAGTTGTGCCACAACATTTGTTGTAAAACCAGGCCCATTAATGCAACTTTTTTTACATTTACATTTACTTTTAATAAATTCAAAAAATAGCCAAGGGCAAACATGTTCTTAGCTGAGAGGTTTTTCTAAGCTTTCCTAATACTACATTTTATAGTAACAAATGTACATTTTTTTTTCTTTTTTGCTAGACTTCAAAAAATATAAGTCAAGTCACCAAAACATTTTTAAAGAAATTAATATCTCCCCTCACCAAGGACAAATAAAATAATGTGACAGCAATTAAAGATGTTACAAAAGAGTTTCATTTCAAATAACTGCTGTCGTTTAGATCATTACATTCAAAACTTCTAATAAAAAAAGTAAAAAAAATTTTTTTTAAACTTTTAAAAAATATATACTGTTTTTAGCTTTGATAATCAAGAAATTAAAGAAGACATCAAAGCATTGTACACAAAACCAATATATATCTCACTGAAAATATAGTTTTAAAAATCACATTTAGCTAAATATGTTTATATAATCTTAGAAAAGACTATGAGCAAGTAACACTGGAGTCAAAACAGACAAGGCTGCTACAACAAAGATGCTGTCACAACACAAACCCTATGGGGAGCAGGCTATTTTCTAATGTCAGCTAACAAGTGTGTACAGGCACTATGACCAGTGTCATGGTTATTAAAACACCGCTATTAGCCCATACATCTTCTGACCACATTCTGGAGGAGCACACATAACTGATTTTCAAACACAAACCACAGATAATTTACCGGAGGACTTCTTTCATAAAGGTTCATTTGTAAATACTCAGAAAAACTTTTGCTATAAAAACATTGAACCTCACGTTAGAAAAGAACCTGTACGCAAGACTAGAGACGTGCTCTTTATGGAAGCAGGGCTACAATACACATTCTTATATTTATTTATTCTTGCAAATTCTTTTATTCACTCCTCTACAAGATTATTCCAATCAAAGATAATGATTTTATTCCAAATAGAGCTATTCAAGTTATCTGCCGAAATTGTATTCATATCGCAATATACCGTAAACTGCAGCAAAATTAAATATGGCAATGTCAGATTTTTCCAATATTGTGCAGTCCTGATAGAAACCTTTATTTAATTTATACAGTGACATTTATATATGCAGTTTTACATTTAATTGTTGTTCAACGTTTGTATTTGAAAATTACTTCAAGATAGCTGATCAAGATAATTTATTTCATTTGTATATTTGCTATATTGTCTTCATTTGTGCTTTAGCTTGTAGATTGTTTTTATATTCTTCATTTTTATTTCACATGGTCCTATTTTTATTGAACATAACGTACCAAACTGTATTAAAACCATGACGCTTAAACTGTGGTATGAACTGAACTGCACATAATCTGTACCGCTGAAAACCTACGGCAAATATCTTGTTTTTCTGGTTTGAGATTTTCACTGATGTTTCGTTATTTAAAGAAAATTGTTTAAATTATTTATTGAACTAACATTACCTGTTCTCAAACAGGTTTCCTAAAGATGTCTCTTGTGTAGCGAGATACAGAATCAATACGTTGTCCAAAACCTATGCAACTGTTCATTACCAATCAAACAGACCAATTTGCTACAGTGTTTACACTTTATGATGAACGTGGTTTATATATGCAGTGTTCCCACTCTTTCATGGACACCACATTCAAGGACTTTCAAGGACTTTTAAAATGACTAATATTTAAAATTGAGCACCTTTGTAATTCACACCACCAGTATATATAGCACCATGAAAGTTCTTTCTGTACTTAATATTAACATTATTTTTGTCATAATGATGATGTTTTTAATGTTATTGTTGACCTTTTTAATCAACCGTTTTAAGTCACATTCAAAGAACTTTTGCATAATTAGTTGACTTTGATCCTGGCAAACTTAAAATGCAGTTTCTGAAATATTGCTAAACTGCTAATTTGTCAGTTCATGCAAGATTAAAATTTAAGTTTTTTAAATTAAGAATTTCTTTTTTCGTTTAGTTTTTGAAAGTAGAACCATTGTTGAAACAACACCATAAACTTTAAATTCAAGTACTTTCAAGTACCTATGTTTATTTTTAAGAGCTTTACAGGCCTTGAATTTATACATCTGAAAATCAAGCACTTTCAAGCAGCGTAGGAACCGCTGTATATGGCTAAATTAAAATCACCACCACCTATCAACCTGGGAATAGGAAAAACTACTTGAAATTACAAACTTAAACAATGTACAAAAACAGGCACAATCCTATAGTGATCAAATGAACAAACACCAGGCTTTGACAGTGTACACAGAGTATTATTCAGGGAGTGGTTTAACATTACACACAGTGCTATAAACCTACACTGTAGTCACAGCCATGTCAAATCAAAAGGTGGGCTGCTACCACAAACACGGCAATGATCAGAGAAGCAAACACAATGCTCTGAAGCCCTGATGAAGTGTTTAGCAGCTGTGTGTGTGTGTGTGTTCGTGTGTGTGTGTGTAAAGGCCTCTCATGAGCTCCTGCTGGAGTTGCAGTGCTCAGCACTCCACGTGCTCCCGTGCAACTCGATCAGATGGGGTGGGGAGGGGGACTGAATCTGCCCGCATCAGCAAGTCTGTCCAAATACACCCAAATGATCGAGGCACACGCGGGTCTGTCGGCGGAATGGTGTGGGATCGTGCGTTTTGATGGGCGTTTATTCCCACTACCACCATATTTGGTCACATCACAAACTGCAAAAATGAGCTAGGCTTCCTTACATGCACTCAGCTTAACAAACATAAACTTGCCCAAATCATTCTGAGATATCCTCAAGAAGTATTAATAAGTAACAATATATGGCCGAGTGTTTTTAAACTTATGTTTTATGCATTGTCTGACTTTAATAACATGAGTGTTTTAGTCAGGCGAGCCAGGACACCAAAGCATATGTTAGCCAAAACCGCAAACGTTCCGAGAATAAAGGCCCCAAAACAGTGAAGTTAGAAGTTAACCACTTGTAGACGGTTTCATACTGGTATATAAAGATAAATTATTTTCGTTTTTACATACTACTTTGAGGGATTAAACGAACTGTTGTGTTATCAGGGCAGTCCGATTCGTGAATGAATCGTTCCGTAGAGTCGAATCTTTACAAAGAATCGTTTGAACAAAACGACCTGTTTATCTGAATCTCGCGCAAGTGCTTCACAATAACATGATAAATTATGTAAAGATGCAAATATAAAATGTACTGCAAGTGTATTTACGACTTTAGCTCATTAATAAGCACAGGTTTTGTCGACATAAACGTTATTTGTTTAATTATAAATGAGTCTTGACAGCTATTTATGATAAATACAAATTCAATTGTGATGAATAAGTTTTGTAGTTTACACACAATAACAGTGCACCCATACTTTACTGAAGTACGTGCTTACGTGCATTCCGTCACGCCAGGTTGCCAGAATTGACGTCACGACGTGCCAGAACGTTTGAATCGGTTATTTTAAATAAATTGTTCAGAAGAACCGAAACGCTGAAACGAGTCGGACGTTCCATCACTAGTGCTAAAGCTAACAGGCCCCACCTCCGCCCCTGATTGGTCCGTTTCTCTGACCATGTATGAAAAACACACTTTACGGATATGGGCACAAAGTTTATGAATTATCCCAAAATGAAAGAATAGCCGTCGTTATGGTCCGTATCAAAGCACAAGTGCACGCACGTGCAAAAAGGGCGATAAAAGTGAAGTGACACAAGTTCAATGGCCGCTCCTGTTTGCAGTAGCACATGCGAGCTAACAGAGCACATGTGTGCACCAGAATAAATGCTGTCGAGGGCATAAAAGTGCGTGTTGTGGCCACAAACTCCCTACCTGTTTGTTGCGAGCTGTTGTTGGTATTATTAGGAGGGCACGAGTTCCTTTTCGTCCAGGGGTTGACTTTCGGCGGAGGAGCCTCGACCACTTTCTTCTTGGCAGTTTCTGCTTCGTGGCTTGATGCATTCTGCTCGTTCTCCTTGTCGTTCGTGCTGTCCGTGCTCAAGCCATCCGCTTTGCTCTCCATGACCCCCTGTTTTGGATGTTTAGTGTCGCCCTGAGGAGGATCCTGCTGCCCCTCCTCGTGGCTCGTGGTTCGGTCAGCTTGCTCGGGTCGATCCGCGTCCGACTTGTTTTGGTTCCCTTCGCCCAAACAACCGATTGTCACGTCCAAGTCGCTCGCAACTTCAGTGGTCATGGTTCAAACGCCCACGCCTTCTTATTATTTTCACTATCCCGCAATAGTTGTTTCCAGCCCAAACGAAGAAAAAGAGTCGATGAAAGCTGTTGCAGCTACAGCACAAGTTGACAGCCAACAGCTTGAAACACGGCGAATAGCTGCATCGGACTTTGTCGTGTTTTTAAATGTCAAAATGCTCGATCCCTTAAAGAAGCCATGTTGTGGGATCACACTAAGCGATTACAGTAAGCCAGGCGAAGGAAAGAGAAACTTTGCCAATGTTTTCAACACACTTCCACGATTTGGCTGATCTGCAACTCACCTAAATAAAAGGAAATACTACGAACGGCCACGAGTCATTGGATGAGTGTGTGGCGCCTCTCTGTCGCCCCTTGCGGTCTTACTGCAGTACAGCTGGACAGCAGAACGTGGTAGAGCTAGAGCAGGGTTGCCATGTCCGCTTTTAAAACTCGTGTAAATGGCAAAATATAGCTATAACTTGAAAGATTTTTGGATTAAATGTCAATATCCCCTGAAGTTAGTTCACAAAACCCACAAGAGAACACAGTAAGCCGTTATAAACAGTATTTCTTAAATAATAACAAATTGTAACCGCTATCAACAGTATCAAGTGTTCATTTAAAATGTATCTTTTTAAACTGAAGCAGTGTGGGTAAACAGAATAATGCATCTGTAAAGTATCTGCCAAATGCTTAAATGGAAATGCTTTGGAGACATTTCTTTTACATATATTATTTTAGACCATATCTTTATTTTTAAAAAGCTGCTCACAAATGAAATCAAACATAATATAATTTATTGATGACAACATAATTTATTTTATGTGCAGCTGTCTTCATATTATCCAGCATATGTTTTACACAGCTGATGCCCTTCCAGCTGCAACCCAACACTGGGAGTTCTATAAACATCATAAACATAATATGGTACACATCAGAATGCCTGAAATTTGTATGCAAGTTAATGATTCTAATTTAAAAAAGTGACAAAATATTAGGGAAAAAGTTGAGATCTAACCCAGAAAAAATCATGAGATGTAAAAATGATATGTTTACTTTATAAAACTAGATAACTGAAAGAGGCCGTTTGGGCTGCGTTTTATGCTTATGCCTAGAATTGTTTTACTTAGTGCATAAAACATCAAAGTATGACTAGCTGGTGTTAAATATATGTTTGTATTTTATTTATTTGTATTTTTTGTTTGTGTATTGTTGTTATTTATTTGTCATTTTATCCATTTATATTGCACATAATGGAGGTAGACAGAATGGAAGGTTTTTATTTCTTTGAGTGAAGAACTATCATTAAAGCATGATGAATTTGTTAGGTATTGATAATTATGACATATAATTACGGCAATATGCACTTTTACATCATGTAGCTCCCTGTACAAAACATCCAATCAATGAATACAATTCCTGCACAGAAGTTGTTTTTTGAAGTGTTGTTTTGCCAGGTTGCTTGTTTTTCTAGCGTGATTTGGCAACATTGGTGTGAGGCAGTCTGACGTGGCCTTTCCCCTAGTCAACAAAACACACAGACTGTTACAAAAACCGAAAAAACAACAAACGTGACATAGCACAGATTTCATCCACTGCTTCAGACCCTTTCACAGACAGATTACAGACATGAAACGCCCGTTTTCATCTGGACGGTAAAAGCTGGGTCAGGTTTGGTTCAGCACCTCACTGAGGCAACTAAACTAAAGTTAATGTCTATCTATCGAAGACTGTGCAGTTAATGTGTGAAGACTTGTGAAATTAATTGTGGACGAAAACATGGTAATATATCTTTATTTTTCTAAATACACCACCAGATGGGGTTCTTTCACACAAATGTGCCCCTCCTTTATGTTTTGCTTTATTTTAAATGCATCACGTGATATGATTGAAAACATTAACATTGTATTATCAGATGCTGAACTTGGTTTTCCTATGAAGAAAAGGGAAATATACCTACTACAGCCTTTAAAAGTAGCTATTTTTGAAGCAAAATATTTTCAAAACTCAGCTAGACTATTTATTTTTAAAACAGAAGATTAGCTACTGGAATTTATTAAAATTAGTACTAATTATTTATGCAGTGAAGAAGCTGTTCATATCTTACCACTTTAGACTAACACTATAATTAGAAAGAAATTGATAAAATGTCAGTCGCGTTATCTAGCGAGTACTAGACATAACACGGTGATCATGATTTATCTTCCCTGTATTTGTCAAAGAACAACACTGCAGGGAAAATACCTGTGTAACACCTTCAGTGACTAGCGTGACATCAATAGATTTTTTTAGTTCGCCTCCTGCTGCCACACTCTGCCACTACAGTCTAAAGCAGTGATGCCCAAACTTTAGCCCACCATCCCATCTGACAAAAAAGGGAGAATGATGGGGATGTTTTGAGATGATTTCAAATTTAATGCAACTCTATATTTGTTTTAATGTTAAAAGCTAGCTATAATTAAATGTTTAAATAAAATGGCATAAATTAATCTGATTTTTGTTTAAATGTAGAGACTGTCACCAGACAATAGAGACTTTGGTGAGCAAATAAAGTCAAAGGCAGATTCTGATTGACTAGTGTATTCAGCATTGAACTTTAGCGTTATAAATGTGATTGTTTTTATTGCAATAAGTTATCATTTAAAAAGTTATACTGCATTAGTTAGTTTGATTTAAAGTACGGTTTTCTATTTACATTTACATTACATTTAGTCATTTAGCAGACGCTTTTATCCAAAGCGACTTACAAATGAGGATAAGGAAGTAACTTACACAACTGTAAGAGCAACAATGACAATTTAATTTGAAATATTATTAAATCAATTAGGACTTTACCCATGGCTTTAATGTAATATAGTTCGGTATATGTACCTTCGGCCCACTGCTCAAATATTTGGTATTTGGCCCTTCATACGAAATTGTTTGGGCACCCTGCTTTAAAATGTTCAACTGAAACGTGATAAAATTAACATTCGACTGTTAAAACACAGATTTTCAAACAAATAAATGGGCAGATATAATGAAAGATGATCTAAATACATGTAATCTCTTCAGAAATATTTGAAGCGCTTTAATAAATTAGCCCCTCAGATTGTGTCTAATAATTAGTTATTGTATATAGTAACAAGGCTGCTAAGGGACAAAAAGTTGAAGAAGCTTTAGAAGAGCTTGCAGATGAGAGAGAGTGCCTTGGATCTTGTGTATATATATCTGTAAAAGTAAGAAGTAATATACCGTGCTGATCCGGAGCCAATTATTCAGCTCTTCACCTTATGACCTTTCACTGTGAAATTAAAAGTATTTGCTTTGAAGAAACTTGAGTCAGATGTGCTGCTGGGTAAAAGACGTTAAAGCGATAGTTCAGCCAAACACAATAATGTACACACAAATTACGCACCCTCGGGTCTTTCTAAACCTTTAGAAAGTTCTTTAATATGTTAAACACAAAAGCAGATATTTTGAAGAAAGCTGAAAACATTTAACCATTGACTTCCATTGCAAAACAGTACAGGTTTCCAGCTTTCTTCAAAATATCTGCTTCTGTGTTCAAGAGGGTCAAGAAACTTCTAAAACTTTTGGAATGAGTGAAATATCTTTTTTTTTCTTTTCAGTTTTGGGTGAACAGTACCTAATAAATATTTGATAGAAAATTATTTTGGGACATAAAACAAACCCAAACATTTCAGTGACAAAGGCTCCAGTCTGAGCAAATCCTCATGGCATATTTACACTGTTTGGACAATTTATTTCTCACCAATGATTTTTTATTTATTTATTTTGCGTAGCAGAACATTCAGCATGGAGGCGACACAGAGTCTAAGCTCCAGTCTAAAGCACTGCAACAACCTCTTGGTGTTTTAAAATAATCCTAATCTGCAGTTTTAAATTTGTGGGTCAAATCCCGGACAGCATTAAGAGAGCATGGATGCCCTCTGCTGGCCAAAATGTAGCCTATTAAGATTACAGCTGGCTCTAAAGGGGTAGTTTACTCATAAACTGAAAATTCTATCATTTTCACAAAAGAAAGATTTTTATTTCAACAGTTACAGGTTTCCAGCATTCTTCAAAATATCTTCTTTCATGTTCAACATATGAAAAAAAATCTAATTGGTTTGGAACAAGTCAAGGGTGAGTAAATAAGTTTCATTGCATGGCAGAAGTTTCATTACTAGGTTAACTATCATACTAAATTGTTCCAAATGTCAAACCAGTCAGGTCATTCAGATAGCTAAAACCTACTACAAACCAAACCATGATAAATTCTCACAATCTTTCATTTTTAAAAAAGACCAGGAACATATTAAATGAAACATTATTTAATCTCAAAATTACAAAAAATACATTTAGAAATGGATAAAAATAAATAAAATCTGTAATTAATTATTTTTTTTACTGTTTGTTGAGAGAGATTCTGTTTCTGTTGGCTAATGAACAGCGGTTGTTGATTCTGGTGTATTACGGGAAGGGTTTGATGGCTACTCCTCCAGCAGGATGTCCACCTCCTCCATGGGCATTCTCAGACGCAACTCCTTCTCAGTCATGAGGTCTAAAAACTCCTGCACACGTTCAGGAAACAGCTGCACTGCATCCATGTACAAGCCCTGGAAACACACACAAACTCACTTATTTGAAAACATGCACATTAAGAGTCTGAAGTGTTATCTGGCAGCAATTTTAACAGCAACACGAATACACTCACCAGTCACTCTACTAGTTACACTTGTTCTACAGTTCATTCATGCAAATATCTGATCGATGGCAGCATCTTAATGAGTTTCACTATTTAGACATGGTCAAGAGGATCTGCCTAAATTCAAACTTAAGTGGCTTTGAACATGCTGTAGCCGGTGTCAAACTGGTTGGTGTTACATTTTCAGAAACTGTTGATTTACTGATATTTACCCATGCTGCAATCTCTAGAACTTACAGAGCAGTGTTAGTTAAAAAAATCCAGTGAGTGAAAATGCCTGAAAGTCAGAGGAGAATGACTAGAGAATGAGAGGTTTGGAGCCAATATAAAGACAAGAGTAATTCTTTGTAACAAAAACTATTTGTTATAATCAAGATCTACAGATGATCATCGCTGAACACACAAAATATCACACATAAATATGAATACACAAAATAATAAGCAACATTTAAATGTCACATTCTGTCTGATTAATGTTGCTGACCACACCTCATCCATTTGATGACCACTGCACACTCATGTTATGCTGACAACAGGATGACACAAAAGAATCTCAAACTGGCTTCTTGTACATGACTGAGTTCAGTGAACTCAGATGACCTGCACAGTCACCAGATCCTAATCCAATAGAGCTCCTTATGTTAATATTGACCAACATTTCAAAGTAATGAAAGCAG